CTTGCCATATTGCTTGCCATGTTGCTTGCTGTATTGCTTGCTGTATTGCTTGCTGTATTGCTTGCTGTATTGCTTGCTGTATTGCTTGCTGTATCCCTTGCCATATTGCTTGCTGTATTGCTTGCTGTATCCCTTGCCATATTGCTTGCCGTATCGCTTGTTGTTCCACCAGTAGTGCCACTAGCTTCAAGGAGATCTTTTGCAAGATTGGTGCTTCCCCCCCTCCTGTTAATGGAAAACGCTAGCAGATCAATGGATCCCCTGTTCATGGAGGCACCAATGTGTCAATGTAGAGGCGCGTTGGCGCTTCTCCCCTGCTGTTAGTGGAAGCAATGGAGGCAAATCAACAGAGGTGTGAGGCAAGTTGATGGATCCCTTAAGAGTGCAGCAAGCGCCGGTGAGTCAATGGATCCCCTATCAGTGAGGTGCCAGGCAATGTGTTGGAAACGTGGATGGATCCCTTAAGAGTGGAGATAACAGAGGTGTAAGGAAAGTCCTTGTTGGCGCTTCCCCCTGTTAGAGGAGGCGCAAGGCAAGTTGGTAGATTGCTTCCCCCTCTTAGTGGAAGCAATGGACGCAAATCAATGGAGGCGCGAGACAAGTCCATGGGTCCCTTAAGAGTACAGCAAGTGCCACCAACTTGATGGATCTCCTATCAGTGAGGCAGTAGACAACACGTTGCAGTGGCAGTAGCATCTTGTGGTGAGAGTCACTTGAGGTGAAAAGAAGAAGGCTTCTTGGATAGCAAAGAATCGGGTCTTAGTCAGTTGAATGGAAAGAGCAAAGTGACAGAAAGGAGATGAGAAGAGGAATTCAGGAAATCAGGAGGTGTAGTGAAATCAAGAGTGAAATTATCACATGAAGATAAAACAGGGATCATATTTGCACCATGTGCACAGCACTTTTTTTTCTCTTCTTCGAATCCTCTCTCTAGCTCAAAATTGAAAAAATAAAACATGAAAACTGCACGCACTGGAGTATGTGCCTGAGCAATATTTGGGTTCTCTATTGACCCACTATGACTGCAGAATAACATTCTTGCTAAGTGTGATAAGAATATCATGATAAAGCTCTCAGCACTCTTGGCTTCATAGCTGTTGGTGACTGCGTCATTAAAAAATGACCGGTAGAGCTCAGCTGAAGGTAAAATCACATTGATATGCCAAAATAGGCCCTCTTTGCATAGATATAGCTCGTGATCTAATCCCCTAACACTTAATGTTATATGCACATAACTATACTACTGTATTGGATATGTTAAGTGCAAAAAGAACCATTCAAATTGCTCTTATATTGAGCTTATTTCAGTAGAAAAGGTGAAACTGGACACTCATTGGGGACCGGAGGAAGTACTTCGGAAGTCTTAACTGGGGACCAATTCGCACCGTTAAATTTTGAGGCGTTCCGCACCCCTCTAGTACGGTAGTGTACGTAATGATGAACCCTAGCTGTACGCTACCGTACCACCGTCCACCGTCCACAATAGTAGTACCTATATGTATGTATAGTACATAAATATCTTATGTAGAAGGAGTTCCAACCCCCATACCGCTTTACTATTTGGTGGTGTCGGGATGCAACCCACATCATGATATCTCGAACGTGAGGAGAAATGGAATACGGTAGGGTACGATAGGAGGACCAGTCTAATCGACCGATAGCGCCAACCTGGGCACAATTTGATATTCGTCGGAAACTTTAAAATACACTAGCAAAATGGTAAGAGATCGTCATGACATGATGATCCGCCTTCCTGATCTTTGACACTCTGGTTTTCAACTCCAGAGTGAAAGATTCAGGGGCCAAAGGGCGGTGTCCACTTATACATCACAACCAACCATCCTGAAAGAGAGCAGAGTGAACTCGTGCTTTGGATTGTGTGGTGGGTGCGTGGTGGTAATTCTTTTTCTAAACCAAAACAATGGTTAATTTTTAGATTGCGTACTTAACTTTTTGTTTTCCGTAAACGACTYGATGCGCCTTTCAACTTTTCCAGGTCAAAGCCAAGAAATCCGTTGTCAAGTTTGTCATTGACTGCACGCAGCCCGTGGACGATAAGGTTCTCGATGTGGCCATGTTCGAGAAGTACCTTCACGACAAAATCAAGATCGGGGGAAAGACAGCTGCACTTGCGGCCAACAATGTTGTGATCTCTAGAGATCGAACGAAATTGACCATTGCCAGCCCGGCCGAACTCAAGTTCAGCAAGCGTCAATTGAAGTACCTCTCCAAACGATACTTGAAGAAGCAGCAGCTTCGAGACTACCTTCGTGTCGTTGCCGCCAGCAAGAACTCGTACGAAATGCGTTACTTCTCCATTAGCGGAGGTGACGATGCTGATGAAGAGTAAAGCCTATGTATCCTCTAGAACGAATTTAACTCCTGCTGAGTTCCCCCAATAAACTTTTTTTCCAAGCTACACCGTCTCCATTTATATATACTTTTACCTGTGCTCTATCAAACACCTGCTCACAAAGTTGCATAGTAACTTGGCAGCATTGTTTTGCTCCAATGAAAACAACATAACAGTTTGTGTCGTTGCAGCCCCAGACGCCCATTCCCTTCTAAAGATATTTTCCAGCCGAAACTCTCCTCATAGTTCCTCTTTCCAACATCGACTTCTTGTGATACTGTTTCTGGTAAAAATAATGAATGCCAACATCCAAGCAGTGCATTTTCCCTTCTTGTGCCCTCGTTGTACAGTTTCCCGCTCAATTWCCCGATGCTGCTGTTGCCGACTTTCGTGACGGATCAACGACCTCGAATCCCTGTCTCTCTTCACGCTACAAAAAAAAATTCTTGCTTCAAGACTGTCGTACCGTCCGGTACCTAGAGAGAATTTGAATGAGTACCTTTGAGTCCTTGAGATTGGCAAACTATGCTGATCTGATCTTTTACGTCGTTTCCTAGCTTTGCCTCACGACTAGTATTCCATGTTCCTAGTAGGTAGTACTATTGTCAGTCGACCAAACACCCATACTCTCAACCTTTTCCAGATGCAGCAAGCTGGAGAATTCATCTGCTGCTTTACTTCTCAGTGTATTGAATTATTCTTGCAGTAATCATCCTGCAATCTACTTTCAGCCTTTACTTTTCTGGTGCCACCTCCAATAGGTCTGATGCCTCTATAAGCAGGTTGGTTTAATTTTGGATGCTAAGATTTTCAGAGGTGTAGCTTTTATGACCAAACTTGAGCTCATCTTGAATGCTACTAGTACAATAATGACTCTTTCACTGCAATCGCAGTATAGTACAAAAAGGTGAATGAAGAAGGCAGAAAACCATGGATATCATTCTTGCCATCCCTGAAAAACTTGTCTCTCCACTCCTCCTATAATCCTTGTTACTTTTGTCTGTAGGGTCCTTGTTGCTACAACTAGTAGGCYGATTGATGATGGCCAGCAACATTTTGGCATTCCCAAAATTTGCTCTGGAAGGCAGAGACCTTRTTCAGTGCTGAGCTTTATTGAGCAACTTGCTGTTCTAAAATCTAACCAGCACCAACATGCAGATTCAAACAGGGTACTACAACAAACACAATTGCCTGCACCTATTGAGTTATTCTATTACTAGTAGTACTAGTGTGAGCAACACAAAAATCCAAGGTTCAAACCTTGGATAGTTTTCTCCTGCCTTGTTGTATACCTCCTGCATATGATTGATAATACCCTCATGAACCTCCATGCTACTAGTTTGTCTCTTTACTAAYATGTAAACTTAGGTTTAGGTCCCTCTTTTTATTGTAAAATGACTACTAGTAGTACTTTAGTTTGATTTAGAAAGTTCCGGTTCCATACAAGATAGACTACTAACTAATCAGCTTACTCATTTGCTCTTTTTAGCTCACTAAATTAGGCAACTAATGGTGATAAATCAAAATTTGGCAAGATACTCCCTGCTTCTTTTGATATCAGAAGGAACAGTGGTGGATTCACCCCTGATACTGATAGTAGCATAATGCATAGATCACATTTCCCTCTCTTGGAATTGATTGAGAACAATACTACCTTCTGTGAGGAGGACAACCCCAACTAAAAATGGAGGATACTACAAAAAGCAAGCAGCAAGCACAGGAGCAGCAAAAGAAGCAAACTAAGCAACTCAAAACACCCAATCATCTTGTCAAAGAACTACACAAAGATGTTTATCAATACACCAGTGTCAGTTCTTCGGACTCCATAGAGCATTAACCTGCTAGCCCCATGGGCATTTTTGTCTACCACAATCAGATGCAACAAGTGTGGATTAAAACAAAGAAGGCAAGGCACCAAGCAAGGCTTCTTGTGTGCAAAGGACSCAAATAATCAGCTCACAAGCATTGGCTACCAAAGAGGAAGCTTACAATTGTACAGGACAGCATGGAGATGAAGTGGCACTGAGAATCAAGGAAAAGCATTAAAGTTTAGCAAGAACATTGATCCATGCTCTGGATGGAAGATCCAAACAGTCTTGGATAACTCCTCCCTGCCTTGCCCTCAAGCTCTTGATCTGTCTCCAGAGATCAGTTCTGATCATTCCCTCAGGCGCAGTTTGTTTTGAAGCATGACTGGAAGTGGATTTATGACAGGGATTGGCAAAACAAACCAAGAGCCTATTAACAAGAAGGAGCTGAATGAAATCTGTGTCAGCTGCATGAAGAAGACCTTCCTGGGGAAAAGGGATCAAGCAAAGTTAATCAAGCTTGCTAGGTTTGCAAAACCTCTGCTCCCTCCAAAGACAAAGGCTCCGGTATTCAACTAAGATCTATGATCCTTTGAAGAACAATGCCTGGAGTATATGCTGCATAGTACTCAGTTTCAAGAAGATTCCCCAGCACCTCCATACAGTTCCAGAATTTACAGGCTGGAAGCCCTGGTGTTTTCTGGTCATGATGTTGTTGTTTCTGACATTTGGGTTGGACAGCAGCAACAACAACAACCCCAGCCCTTGAACTACTCCAACAAAGATGATGCTGTTGAGATCAGCATCCTTCCCAGTATTCCACACCAGCTGCTGTTTGCAACCTGCCTTCACAGCTGGCCTCCTCCCCAGTTCTTATGGGCTGGAAGTGTTGATTCTGACAGTCCTTTTGGATAGCAACAACAACAACCCCAGCCCCCATTATTCAACCAAGACCTAGTCCTGGAGTTTGCTACATCATACTCAGTTTTAAAGATTCCCCAGCATCTCCATGTAGTTCCAGTATTATTTACAGACTGGAAGAAGATGATTCCAGTCATGATGTTGTTGTTTCTGGCATTCATGTTGAACAGCAGCAACAAAAACCCCACCCCCACCAGTATTCCTCAACCAAGACCTGTCCTTTGAAGAACAGTGCCTGGAGTATATGTTACATCATACTTAGTTTTACAGAAGATTACCAGCCTTATCTCCATGCAATTCCAGTATTTACAGACTGGAGGCTCCTGTGTTTTCTGGTCATAATGTTGTTGTTTCTCACATTTGTGTTGGACAACAACAACAACAACAACAACAACCCCACCAGCCCGCATTATTCGCCCACCAAGATCTACCCTTTAAATAACAACTCCTGGAGTACATGCTGCAAATTACTCAGTTTAAAGAATATTCATCACCGGCCTTCACACCATGTCAGTTCCAGTACTCATAGACCAGAAGCAGATTCCGGTCACAATGTTGTTACTTTTGACATCTGTGTTGGACAGCAACAACAACAACCTAAATTCCCATTACAGTAATCCAACCAAGCTGATACTTCTGAGATCAGTACCACCTGTAAACCCACCAGCTGAGTGCAGTTTGCCTTAGCAGGATCAATCCCAAGTTCTTTGAACTGCAAGCATCTTCAGGTCTTGAAGTTGTTGCATCCAACATGTGTTGGACAGCAACAACAAAACCCCAGCCCCCAGCAGTATTCAACCAAGACCTATCCTTTGAAGTACAATGCCTGGAGTATATGCTATATCATACTCAGTTTTAAAGAAGATTCCCCCTGCATCTCCACACAGTTCCAGTATGTATGGACTGGAAGCCCCAGTGTTTTCTGGTCACAATGTTTTTGTTTCCATTATTTGTGTTGCACAGCAACAACAACAACCCAAGTTCCATTAAAGTAATCCAACAAGATCATGATGTTGATGTGCTCAGTATCTCCACACAGTTCCAGTATGTATGGACTGGAAGCCCCAGTGTTTTCTGGTCACAATGTTTTTGTTTCCATTATTTGTGTTGCACAGCAACAACAACAACCCAAGTTCCATTAAAGTAATCCAACAAGATCATGATGTTGATGTGCTCAGTATCTCCACTAACTCCACCAGCTGGTGCTTGTATTTGCCTCAGCTGGATCCATCATCCCTAGTTCTTAAGGACCAGAAGAAGCTTCCGGTCATGATGTTGTTGTTTCTGATATTTGTGTTGGACAGCAGCAGGAACAACAACACCAGCCCCCAGTATTCAACCAAGACTTTTTCTTTGAAGAACAACACCTGGAATGTATGCTACACAACTCATTTAAAAGAAGATTTATCACCAGCTTCACTACATGTGCCAGTTCCAGTCTTGCTTTTAGACTGGGAGACAATTCCGGTCACTGGTCATGATTCTTGTTGGATAACAGCAACAACAACCTCTTGCAGTGCGACTGCAACCATCAATATTTTTCCTCAACCTCCAAGGGTTTTTGTGGACCCAATACCAAGGAATCATGGTTTTTGTTTTCTTTTTCTTTTCTTTTTTCCTTTTTTTGACGACTCCAACAGCTGTCTCCTTGCTCACTGTGTGGTGGCTTGTCTTATTTGACTTGAAAATGTGCTTGGCACTCATTTCCTCGACCACTGTGGTGTGACTTGCCTTTTGGCTTACCAGTGCACTTGAAATGATAATGGCATGGTTCTCATCCATCCAAACTATGAGCCAACTATGCCCTCTGAATCCAGCCTCAATCCTGAATTGGCTTGTCAGTACACATAGAACCTGGTCAAACCTCAACAAAACCTCCTTGGAGGGAGGTGTTGCCCATTGGAGCAGCTAGGAGTATTCTTCTCCCTAGTCAGGTGAAGCTATGGTTCTGGCCATGTAGTGCCTCTTCTAGTTCAGAAGGTTAAATAAAATATTAAGATTTTATCTTATAATATGGCTGCAAATATACTGTGCTTGCTTGAGTTACTAGTAGTACCAAGTGTTACCTCAGTACCAAGTGTTGCCTCAGTGAGTCCACTAGTAGCAACTGTGTTTTTGTCCATGCTACTAGTAGCACTTGGGGATGCAATGGCAGTCTCTCCCTCCTAATAGCCAGAACTTTATCAAAAAACAGTTCCAGACCACTGGACTAAGTGCCCAGTCCAAGTTGACACAATTACCTAAAGGTTRGTGTCATTCATTGGGTAGCCAAACAATGCTATAGACTTAGAACTAGTGTGGCAAAGTTACACAAGGAGTGGATGACCCATTTTTTTATTTTAGGGGTCATTTTACTCTGATTAAACTTGTACTGTACTACAATAAGTTTCACTATAAAATACTAGAAGTACAGTTATATGTCAATGCTATCAAATTCAACAGGATATGGATATGCTGAAGAGACACTATATTTTTGAAAGTGCAACAAGCTTAGCTGCTTCATAATATTGAAACAACTTAAGCAAATTTAGTGCATTATAAATAACTAAAGTCTGCAATCTTTTTGCCCTAAAACCCCAGAAATGTTTGTCTCATGCTCACATATTTCCAAATGTCTATCTCACGCTTACTTATTCCCAAACAACATGGAAACATTCACATCTGATACACCTACCTCCTTGCTCTTGTATTACTACACGCAAAATAACAATTGATATTACGTTAATTGAGGCATTGGGAACGTCAATTTAACATTCCAAATGTTTATTCAATGTACAGAATGTTAAATTTATCCTATAGGCCTACGTAGGTCCTAGTATTATCCACATTCTTCATTCAGTCTGTAAGTATCATTGTGATCCATCTTCCCATCCACATAAAGATACAACTCTCAATACTCATTCATTTCAATCCCACACCTCCTGTTATCATGCCCACAACCTTTTCCATTTTGGTGAATGTAAGGGTGGAAGAGGAGACTGAGTTCATATATCCTTTTTTGTAATGATCTCCAGCATTTTGAAAAGAACAATGTAGTATTCTCCTTTAAGCATTGGTGCCCTTCTCAGGATCAGTTGTAACTGTCTTTGCCAATGTCACAGGTATTGTCAGTATGAAAGCTTTGATTCTAGCTCTTGAGCTTGAATMAGTCCCAGCTGCATTCTTTTTGAGCAAGACCTTTCCTTCTACATTCCATGGTAACCTGTTTTTTGCAACAGTACCTATCATAACCAAGCCTTCTTGCTTGCCCATCCAATCCAAAATGGAGTCAGAAAGGAAGAAACAATCTATTGTTAAGGGGAGGGGAATTACATAATTTTCCTTCTCTTATATGCCAAGAGAAAGCCTCCAACACGGTTGTGGATTTCTGCATGAGGGTCAGTACAGGTATACCTTGGTTCCTCAGTCTTCCAACTGCACCAGGTAGTTCACCAGAGGCCCTCGATAGCCTTGATAAGGTCAGCTTGTTTTGTCCACACACAAATCCAATGCAGCTTTCAGTGAGAAATAATTAGTGTTGTTGACAATGGTCCTGTAAATGTAGTAATCAAACTTGTATGCAACACCAGGAAAGGGTCTTTCCAAATCATTCTTACTGAGCTTGAAGTTCCTCTTGATTTGATGTCAATTGGTACAAGTAATTGTGTTTGCAATATCCTCATTGAATGAAAGATCCTGGGGATCCCATCTGTACTTAATGTTTTCCTCAGCTCCTTCACAAGCACCATGCATAAACACAATGACATCAAGGTAAACTGCCTCAGGCAGTGTCACTGGGAAAATTTGGTGTCCCTCTCCCTTGACATTAGTAAATCTTACCACCTTTTTGTAAGAAGAAAACTTCTTCTCTGGTTCTTCAATCTGATTCTGTTGGGCATCCCTTGAATCAGAAGTAATTGAAAGAATCAACTGATAGAAGAAGAAGGCATCTCAATTTTCAATCCTCTCTTTTGTGAATCCATATTGCTGAAGCTTAAGAACATCCAACATCCCCTTCCTTTTGTCCGGAAGCATATTGTGCTGAGAGGCATACTTCCTGCCAAACTTGGTGTCTGGATAGTTAACTAAACCATCCCAACCCAAGTAATGGGAGTGCTTACCAATATGTTTTCTAAAGCTGTTACCACTCCCCTCCTCTCCATCCTCTATACCAGGAATGTCAGGTGTATTGCATTTTGATGAAAGATAATTCCCTTTTTATCTGTCACTTCCATCCTTGTATGTTGGCCTGTAATAGTAGGGATACCACCAGCCAGGATTGTCAGCATCTCTCCACTCTGCTGGCTATTTTTTGCTAACCTTTGGTTCCTTCCTCTGGTATCCAGCTGGGGGCTTTGGAAAATTGGTGCAAGGATCAACAATGGTTTCATCCTTGTAACAACAGAATTCTGTATCATGAGGGGCTACAGTATCTCTACATTAAAGATCTTGTGCTCCTTCCACATCACTCCTCCCTGTCTTGTGATGAGCGTTAGCACTTGCAACACATTGTACTCAGGAAAATAATGGTCCAAAATTGAAGATTTGAACCTTATACGTGCCTGCCAAAAGTATACCATCTCTAGTAGTAGTACATTAGTATACCCCATCTAGGGTATCTTTTGATCTTGTCCTCTTGTGTGTATTTGTATTTTCAGAAACCAATGCAACAAGAAAGTATGCCATTTTTTGCTGGAATTCAACACTGAGTTTTTCCAGCAGACTGCTATCCTTTTTATATGGCATTAACATTGAGACTAAACATCTGCTGAGGACTATTCAAATTGGATGACTGCAACAAGCACAATCCAACTTGTTTCTGCACTAGTTTTGTAGCTCATTGAATAAGTTGATGAGACAAGGGGAGAACATCTAGAGGAAAACTGGGATTAAATTATTCCCTCTGCAGAATTATTGTTTCACCAATTCATTTCTTGACTTCTTTTTTCTGTGTAGCAATTACTTTGACAAAGAATGACTCCTGTTTTGCCAAGACAAAAACAGCACACTATAACTTGTTCAAAAAGTGCAGTGCAGGTAGTAGATTTGTGGCAGTTGTATTGAATTTATCTGTTGGTGCATGAAAATTGTATTTATTGACTTCTTTCCATCGTTGTATACTAGAGGCTTTAGCAACAGGAGTGAATTTTATTTTGAAGCATGTAGTACCATTTGCAACTAATGATTCAAGTATTGTAAGTGTGGATTGTTTACTGCAGAYAGGTTGATTATTTATCAAGATGATAAATGCATCAAGGACTTGATTTTGTGTAGACTTGTAGGAGGAGAACATGGCAGCAGCACTTGATTCCTTGGTGACGTCTTCCAGGAAGGCACAACTATTTAGTTCATCTGTGTCAATTTAAGTCAAAATGTGGGACTATTATGTTTTACACCAACTTCTTTTGCTGTAAGTATGTTGTGGAAAATGGATATGTAGAAACATAGGTCACTGCCTTTTACTTTTGTTTCATCTGGAGATATGTTGGAACCATTTTTGTAACATTGAAAATGTAGAATGTTTGGTGGGATGTCTTGTGTCGGTAGGTTGTTCATGCCTTCATTGAAGCAGGCATGTGATGCAATTTTGACACAGTTGGTTTTGGCATCATACCAAGAAAGAATGTTCTTCGTTGTTTGAGAATGGTATCCAAGAAAGATGCCTTTCTTTGACTTATTTTGAATTTATCTGGTCTTCTTCCAGGAGGATGTACCCAAACTTGACTACCAAAGGTTTTGAAGTTTTGTAAATTTTCTTTCTTGTCTGTGGCAAGCTGCAGTGGTGATTTGGTTTGTGTATGTTCTTGAGGTAAGAAGGCATTCAATATTCAAAGGGAGTGATGAAAAGCATAGGGCCAAAGTTGATAAGAGGTCATCAACGGAGAGAAGATAATGTATTCTATCAGCAATTGTTTGATGTGTTTGTTCTACTGGTCCATTTTGGTGTGAAGAGTTGGCATGGCACCTGTCAGTTGTAGAGTCAAATGTAGTAAAAAAAAATTTGGTCTGTCAGTCTATCAAATCTAGAGTTTTTAGAATAACGGGAATCACCTCTCACATTTTGSTAGTCCCCATCGAAATCTAGCCGCACTATTCACAATCTCAAGATTTTCATATTCCTTTGTGTTCCGCGCACAGAAACATCGTTCAACGTACCGTAATATCGTACCAAATGAGAAGTATTTTTCTATTTCTTCGCGCACAGAATAACAAAATTGCCTAGAAATAACTTTTCAGTTCACCATAGTAAATATGCGTTAGCTATGAACTGCTCGCGAATGACATACTCCAAATTTCGCCGGAAGGTTGACATAGTTGCAGCGATTACTACTGCTTTCTGCACGTTAACATGCAACGTAAAAGTGTTGCTTGGCAACCAATAGTACCTAAAAATAAATACATTTAATTGTTTTTCAACATCACAAGTTCGTCCCATTGCTTGCCGTACCATAATGTACCTGAAATTCTGTAGGTATTTTTTTGATCAGGCATATTTGTTGGTATCTTGATCGTTAGCATCAGCGAGTGCAACTCTATACAACAATTATATAAATATTCGTGGACGTATATAAATAATTTGAAACTATCGAGAGAGTGAACCGTTTCTCAACGCTTCAACTAAATCGCTCATCGCTAACAAGAAAATTCGCTCACAAACTTGGAGTTGACAAGTAGAATCTTCTCAAGCGTTTTCCTTCAGCGTTGCACAAGCATCATAAACGGTCCAAAACAACAACTTGAAACGATCACAGCTTAGCAAAATTGAGTTTCAGTGAACACAAAACGAAAAAAACACGAAGATGAAGTTGTGTTTTATCAGCACACTCGCCCTGCAAGCGGTCCTTTTTGGAACGCTAGCACAAACTGCTCACGGAGGTGGTGAAGAAAGTGAATTCTGGGGAACTTTTGTAGAAGAAATTGATTCATTCCCCAGTGCGGCTCCATCTCCAGCTCCATCGCCCGGTCCATCGCCCGGTCCATCGCCCGGCCCATCGCCCGGCCCATCGCCTGGCCCCTCCCCTGGTCCTTCTCCGGGACCTTCTCCTGGACCATCGCCAGCACCTTCTCCGTTTCCAAGTCTACCTCCTGTTTCGGGACAGCCAACGCCWGCTCCATCTGCACCACCTTCTCCTGAACCCTCTCCGGGACCTTCTCCTGGACCATCGCCAGCACCCTCTCCGTTTCCAACCCTCGCCCCAAATTCGGGACAGCCAACACCTGCTCCCTCTCCTGGTCCATCGCCAGCACCTTCTGCAGAACCGTCTTCCCCTCCATCTCCCGCTCCTACGGGAGCATGTAGTATCAGTTCATGCCTCAACTGTACCGCCATCGTTGAAGGAATTGAGCTAGATTGCGCGGATATCCCGGAAGAAAAGCAACCTGTTTGCTTTTGTCCAGAGTGTGTCCGAGAACTTCAGTTCACGTACACAGGAAGATCATGCCCAGAAAACCAGCTTTCATGTACAGACAACAGTCCTAGCCCATTTGTTGCCGGTTACAGAATCACGGACGCCAACGACCCCACTTTGGTTCTTGCAACTGGACAAGCACAACAGCAGGATACGATCGTTGTCACATCGCCTACTGGATGCATTCCCGATACACTTTCAGTCACTATTTCGGTTCCCACTGGTGCTGTGACGCAAACTTTCTTGATCGATGCCCGATGTGACGGTGGAAGAGGATTGACTTTGCTTGGAAATTACGGTGCGTTTGAATCCGTGGGTTACACTTGTGATGCCACTGACGTCCACAACTGTGTACAGACCGTGACCTACGGAAACAAGGTTTGCAACGATGGTCCCGAACCACAGAAGATCTATGAGTTTGATCTAACAACCAAAGAAACCAATACGGCATTTGATGAGAGTTGCGATCTCCTCCAGGATGGCTCTATTCCAATGCTTGGTCCTGGTGAATGCTACTATGAAAACAAACCTTTCGAAGTGAACAGATGTGTTCAATCAAACTACTGTGTTGACGTTGTAGCAAATGCAACTGACGTCCTCACAGGAATTCCTCCCAGCTGTCCGGCTTCGGATGAAATCAAATTCGGCTGGCCAGGAATGCCCCTTCCTCCACCAACTCCTTTCCCAACGTAAGTATTGCTTTTTGCTTCTTTGAATATCCAGACCATGAACTTTTTATCTAACTTTTCTTCTTCTTGACTGCAGTGTTATGCCTAGCCCCCCCCCTTCGCCTGCCCCCACCTCGGCTTGTGTTATTGATGTTAAAATTGATGGATGTCCTGCGCCTAATATCTCTCTCGATAACAATTGCGAAGGTCGTCCACAAACTATCACCTTCAAATACACTGGTGGAGACTGCGAGCAGTCAAGAAACTTTCAGTCTCGTCAAAAGTTTATGTGTACACCTGCAGAGGGACCATCCGCTCCAACCACTAAAGGAACTGTAAACTACATTGAGGCTGTTCCAAGAGGAGGAGGTGATCTCTATTACGCTGGTAACGTTGCAGTTGGAGACAACTACATTTTGAACGAAAACAAGCAGTTCGACAAACTTTCCGCTGACATGACTATCACGATTTTTGAGTCTCAGGGAGGACCTGTTCTCCAGACTGTTGACGTGCACTTGTCTTGTTCGCAAGCTTTGTTCCTCTTCGATAAGTTTGGAGCAAATCAGGTTGTCCGATGGGTGGAAACTGATGGACGTGTGGTTGAAGCACAGGCTTTTGTTACCACTGACGATTTCGTTTTGAATTTGGAAACCTCTGAGGTTACTGGTAGTGGGGGACCCATTACTCTTACCGAAATGTCTGTTCTGACGAACGCTCAAGACCTACCAATTGACTACACGCCTCAGGTGGCCGGAAAACAACTGATCCCTGGACAGCCAATTAATCTCCCTGGTTTCCAACTTGACATTGATCTTACTCAAAGAACTGAGTACACTTTCTTCACAACTATCATTGGACAAACAAGTGACGGAACACCTTGCAACGGATCAGACTTCCACTCTTGTGTTGTTGGATTTAATTTATCTCCRTCTTTCCCCACGGATGTTCCAACCCCAAGACCAACTATCACCCCTTTCCCTACGGGCTCTCCGAATTCTACAGCCTGCGAGATTGCATCCAACATCGAGTGTACTGTAACTCGACCAGCCAATCCAAAATTGCCTCTTTCGTGTAGTGATCTTTCTGGCAGTGTTTCGGCAACCTGTTCTTCTGAACTCCTAGCTGCTTTCCTCGAGTACGATGGATCATTGGGACCACGCGTGTTCGTTAACCCTACTTGCGGCAAGAACGAGTTCTTTGGTCAGTTCGTCAACGCAAATGAGGTTGTAGAACTCAACACGCGAGCTGCTGATTTCTGTGACGGAGCTGTCACCATTGGTATCTATGATGCTGATCCACTTCAAGGAGGAAGCCAACTTGGATCTGCTGATGTCGAGCTCTCTTGCCCAGGGCCTTGGACTATCGGAAACACGATTGCTCCTGGATTGACGTTGGCTTACTACGTCAGCACTGTCAACAATGGTCTCACCTTTACTTACAACTTCCTTGACGCCGAGGTACAGATTGATTACGTCGGTATCAACGCCGGTGCAGGTCCCCTCACTGTTTCCGGTGGAGACTACTCTGGTACTTCTCCGTTCACATCAGGCGCGATTACTGGTGGAAGCACAATTACCGGACGTGGACGTCAAGTTCTTGCAACCGAGACGCAGACCATTTCGCTCCCTGGCACTGGCGGAACAGCCTTGGACTTCAGTATGTCTGTTGACGGTGCGACTGCAAACCAGTTTGCTCTCCCTTGTACCACCGCCTCCAACTACCGACTCAATCTGTAGGAGTGTTAACTATTTGGCTAATCGATGATGATTGATAGCATCTACACGAGTATGAAACGAAAGACTCGGCGTGTTGCAAAATAAGATCATTGTGGATCTAATTGATGTATTTGTTTTGAAAAAAAAACATGAGTTCAGATTTCCTGCGGGGTTTCCTGCGAAATTATTTTGGCAAGACGTACAAAAGGAAATTTGATCTTGTAATTAAATGTGAAAGAAAAAACTATTATTTTAAAAAAATCTTCTGAAACGAAAAGATATTTGAGTAGACAATTAGTTTTGTGGTATGACTGTTCCTCTGCGAGCAATCTTTTCAATTTACACAGTTTAATGATAGCCACTAATCATTGACGGCACCATATTCATTCCTTGAACATCATGCTTTTCTTTCTTGGTGTGTGCACAAACATCATGCTTTTTGTGTGCACAAAAATCACAGATGTATCACACTTTTGTTGTTCACAATCTACACCAGCCACAAAAATAAGCTCTGCCCACTCCCTTGTACAACTAGTAGATTTCCCTCTTTACTAYTAGTAGCAGTATCTTTCTTTTCATAGTATGGTGTCTACTATAACTGTTAGACAACTATTGCACACCAAGTTCTGTCTTACCAAACTGCCTGTCAGTTCACCAGCCAGCAAGACCAGAACAGTCATTGTAATTACTTCACCCATAACCATACTAGCAGTACATCATGGGCTGTCTTGCTTTTGCCATGTATGGGGGTCTGGAAGTTACAGATCAATTGGCTCTATGGCAGTGCTACAGTTTGTAATCATCTCATATCAGCATCCTCTGTATCCAGCATCATCCATATTCAATGTCCTCTGTATTCAGAATTCAGCATCCTGTTCCTATCAGCTACTCATATATTCATGTATTCAATGTTGTCCTCTATATCATCCTTTGCATCCTCTATATCAGCAACTCATACATTCTCTGTACCAGCATACTTTTGTATCAACATACTACTCTGTATCAGCATAATCTGTATCAGTATAATCTGTATCAGTGTAATCTGTATCAGTATAATCTGTATCAGTATAATCTGTATCAGTATAATCTGTATCAGTGCAGTATTCTGCATATCATCATAGTGCTTGGTATCAGCATACTACATATCAACATCATACTACCTCACATAGTATTGGAATATGCCATTTCAGCAACTTGTATCAGCAACCTGCACTAGCTTCCTGTATCGTATAGGGTGGGCCAAGCAAAAAAGCACGGTTTAAACCATACATTAGCAATTCAAGATATACATAAACGGATATCAGTCAATATTTGTCGTACGCCGTATTCCCCCACGCCATTAGAAAGCTCTTTGAATTCTCTTTTTAACCATGTGCTTAAGGTCTTTCTGCGACCGTCGAGGAAAAAGTTACAGCCCAAACTGTCAGTTCAAGACTGAAACAGTTATACGGTTAAATTATACATGTGCGTGGATTAGTGGCCATCTAATTACCGTGTAATGACTCGTGGGATAAAAAATTTGACTTGTACTAGGCCTACAGCATGCACGTGAAAGCAACTTGTGGGATTAAAAATTTGCATGTGTTCGAAGCCAAAATTGTTGGTTGAGCACGTGCGTGCGAAASGCCCGCTGTACACTGCAGTACAAGCCAATTTTTAATCCCACGAGTCGTTACAAGGTAATTAGATGGCCGCTAATCCACGGTTTAAACCGTACATTGGCTGGCCAAGCCTATACGATACTTCCTTTGTCCTCAAACAAGTGTCCTCATAGCACCTTTACTACTGAAATAAGCTCAATACTTGGGTGACTGGAACACTTCTTTTTGCACTTGACAGATCCATTACAGTGGTATAAAGTTCTGTTAATTCACAAGCACTTCTGGAGATGGCTTGCTGATTCTTGCAAATGAGGCTCTGAAGAAAGTACTAGGATCAAGTGACAGCATATCACGCCCCAATACTACTAGTAGCACTTTTTTCATAGAAGACACGAGTGGTCGTAGGTGTATTAAGTCTCTATCAGATCTGGAGGTCCTTTCACATGTCCCAATGAAGGACTGTTGTGATCTAAGGACCCCTGCATGAGCAACTGGTATTCCAAAATAGTCTCTGCATAAACTTATCAGATTTTGTGAAAAAAGAAGCACAACACGAGAACAATCAATCCCATGCTCCCAGAGGTAAATACCAAGCTCAAACAAGGGAATGGGATATTGCAAGATACTATTGGTGAAAATGGGATGTTTGATGACTGGATGAAGCAAGTTTGTATTGATGAAAAAGGTTTTGCTTGAAATACACCAAATAAACTACTTCCTCCATCCCATACAGTAGGTCTGTTATGTCTGTTTYTGCTGTCCCATCAAGAAGAAGGTCCCTCCTGTTTTATGTCTGTTAAGCAACTGGGTAGGACTATGTACTAGGTATAACATTGGAAGCTTCTTTTCACTACTATCTGGATTATATCTATTATATAGAGTTGGCGCCCAAAGCAATATACAAACCAGTCTTATATTTTGGGCTACGTCTTTTCTCAGTAAAATTTGTCAAGCACGCCTACTGGCATCACAAAATCTTTGTCCAACTACACCATTTTTTCTATGGAAATTTTGTCTTGATGTCTGTTGATGTGCTCAAAATAAATTCTTGATGAACATATTGACCTAAAATACCATCCAATGTTGCACCAATACTGCTCCTTCATGATGCTGATAGCAGGAGGAGGCAACTTGTTGTCAATTGTCAGACACAGAGGAGTCCTCACAACTATGTGCTGAAGCTACCATTATCAAAGTGAAAGCGCTTCTTGTTCTGACAACCGGTACCTACTTGCCCCCCCCCATTGACACTAATCAGCAACACTCAAAACACTCATCATCAACACCATACAGCAACAGTTCATCTCCAACAGCATGTTCAATCAGAGGTGGAGCAACAACAGCAACACTTATTCTTACCATTCCCATCTGCCACATACTAGTATTAGCATCAAATGACCTTATACAGGGGAGGAATTCCATGGTGACGAGGATGAAACAGGAGTTCTTTAGTTGCTTTTTGGTTAGATTTGATGGCAAAATGAGATTAGCAAAAGCTAAGCAGTATTTTGATTTGGATCCTCCCCCCCATGTGTTTCACTGTGTTCTTAGCTAGAATTATTGGTTTTCATTTATCCATTTAGGGTGTTTGATTTGTGTTAACTGATAGTGCATAGTAATATAATTCAATACCACATTGAAGAACAACATGTGAATAACAATCAATGGCAGCCACTGCACAAAGCAAATCCTTTTTTGTGGGATCCCACATGTGCTACCATAAGCATTAGATGCTTTCATCAGGGGCAAATACAAAGGAACTACTATCAATGAAGTTKTTTTCTTTCCTGGCCATTGTAGTAGAATGCTCATTATTAAAATTCTTCAGTCCATTAGCTGCAGCTTGGGAACACTGACCATGGCAACTGGATGTTTGTGAAGAACTATAAGGAGGAGTACTCTCCTGGAAAATTTGAGTCACTTGTACATCACTGAGGATGTCAAGCCAAATCCCTAACTGATCCTATTGTCCAGAACCAATAGAGCATCACCAGTCCAGTAGCACAGATGGTATTGGCATCCTTCCTCTTTCCCTTGGGCTTTCCACTAGGATAAGAAGTAACTTCTACAACAATCTCATTGTCCTTATCAATGGTGTACTTGTTGTTGAAAACTGGAGCAAAAAGGTCAAGGAGTTCTCTGAAGACCTTATGGTYTAGTACACTTCAGCCGTTTGTTAAGTGCTTCTTGATCAAGTTGTGAGTAGAAGGGATGGTGAAAGGATGACTCAGTATATCTAYAGATTGCAACTTGTGGTGGTGTTCTTCTTCTTCAGCAGTCCCTCTGGCACCTCTTCTGGAGGTATTTTTGTAGATAACTTTTGGCTTCTTGCTCCTGACCATTCATCTGAATGAAGTACCAGCAGTACATCATAATGGTCTCCATGACTCCCATTGCAGCCTTCTTTCTTGCTAGTAGGAAGAAGAAACTCTGGCATTTTTGATACTAATACAAGTATCAGAAATATGTGTATTCCTTTTAGTACTACTACTACTATACTTGTTGCAGGATTGAAAATTTCATGTTTTGCTTACTAGTAGTAGTACAAAGTGGCGCATACATCTATTTTTAGTCTTAACAGTCTTTACATTGAACTGTTTGTTACGAMAATTCTAAATTCCAAAAAAAACTGCTGGTGAGATCAAGCCAGCCTTCCTTGTTGTCTGTCCATTGAAATTTTGATTCTTCTAGTAATTCTAAAAACTCTAGAACTCCACATTTGGAGATGTAGTGTATTTAGTTGGCTACAGTGCACTGGACTTCACTATCTTTAGTGTGCGGTAACCACCAGTAACTTTGAAGAATTCTTACAGCCCTAAATTGACTGAGGAAACAAAAAGAAACTTTTTTAGTGTGGATTTGTGCAAACCCTGGTATATTAATTTTTGCAAATAAATTAGTACCTTGACAAAAATAAATTATTCATTTTTAACTTAAACAACCACCAGTGATTATTATGACAACAACAAGTCATTCTAGCAATAACTTAGTTTTTGCACCGTAATAAGTTTTTTTAGTACTACTAAGTTTTCTTTGCTGCTGCCCTTTGAGAGCAACAACAGCAACAAGGGCAACGGCAACCAATTTTTAGAATAATGGGAATCACCCATCAGGGTTCCTTTGTACTACTACTAGTAGTGCCTCTACAGGTACATTTTGGTATGCCTGATTCTATTACRATTTCTATCCCCCATACGGTACGAGGTTGTGGTGTGAAATATTGCATCCAATTTATAACAGGTTATGAGTCATAATTTTGCAACTCATTTTGAATAATCAGCTAAAGCTTTGCTTGCTTGTTAATGCTACCAAAGCACCAATCAGAATTTGAGAATCGATTAGCCGGAAAGGGTTTTCTTTTGTCTTTCCATACATGTGCATATTGTATGTGTTTCTTGCCAGAGAACCTTTTCCGGCTACTTGATATCTCTGCGCACGGAATTTTCTGAAAAACTCATTAACACAACCTCCAGCATAGGGACCTGTCACCTCTTTAGTTCAACACTTTAACCAACACTAACAGCACAATTGATATACATGACCTCTTCATTATAACAAGGACAGGGGGATCTGGAAGTCTCGGATTGATTGACGGATTGGTTTAGAAGAAACACTAGATCTATGATCTTCGTGAAAATTAGCGAGCCTCTGTATCAGCAGCCTYGTATCAGCGTCCTCCATATCAGCAGCTCCTCCTCCATACTAGTATCAGCAGCCTCGTATCAGCAGCCTCGTAGCAGCATCGTCCTYCRTATCAGCAGCCTCATATCAGCATCCTCCGTATCCGCAGCCTCGAATCAGCGTCCTCCTCCGCACCAGTGCCTCCTYYGTATCAGCAGCCTTGTATCAGCAGCCTCGTATCAGCGTCCTCCTCCGTATAAACAGCCTCGTATCAGCAGCCTCAGCAGCCTTGTATCAGTGTCCTCCGTATCAGCAGCTCCTCCGTACTCGGTAAGCAGCCTCGTAATAGTTTTTTGGGTTCCAGGTGGAACTAAGTGACAGCTTGAGCTCAAGGGTGTAATATATCGCACTGTTCTTCACGTAGGCCTGTGTAGAAATAGTACCAGAAAAAGGCTGTCACCCGATATTTCACACCACAACCTCGTACCGTACCATTAGTACTCATACGGGACGTACGAGGATCGTGCATACAGCAGTTCCGAAGTAGGGTACTATTTAATGGGACTCACTTGAATCACGTTCATAAAATACCTCGTTTACCCGACTACTAATTTCGGCGCCCACATATGGCAAGAAAAAAAGTGAATTTCCTCTACTGAAGTGCCTCGTACGGTATTCCCCACCAAATCAAGCGAACGACATTATCAGGGACAAGTTATCGCACGTAATTCAAGATGGTGATCGCAAGTAAGTGGCCACTGAGGTCAAGACAATGGCAGTAGTAACGATAAGAGTAGCAATGGAGTCTGACTGTATGAAGATGGCAATCTGGAGCTGGAATAAGAAGCGGTCGACTCGTTTTGCTTCAGTACAATTCTTGTTGTCCTGGGACACATTGGACAGAGGAACGCTAACCTAATTCGCAATGCTTTTTAAATTTTGAATGCAATTTCACTCGGTAGCTGAACTTTGCGCTCTTTCAGAGTACAGGATTTATCCTGGAAATGGGAAACTCATGATTCGTCGTGACGGAAAACCCATCTGGCTTGGAACCTCYAAGGCTCACAGCTTGACAATCCAACGAAAAAAGGCGGCCAAGCTCGTCTGGACCCAGGCGTGGAGACGCCTGCACAAGAAGGGACTTTCTGAGACCACCACGAAGAAGCGCACTCGTCGTGCCAACAAAGTTCAGCGAGCTGTCGTTGGTGCTTCATTGGAAGACATTAAGAAGAGAGCTTCAGAAAAGAGCAGTGTCCGATCAGCTGCCCGAGAGTCTGCCTTGAAAGATTTGAAAGCTCGTAAGACTGCCACAAAGAAGAGCGGTGCAAAGGGTGGTGCCAAGGGTGCAACGTTCCAAAAAGTCCCCAAACACATGCCTAACCGAAACCGTCGTTAAGTATATTCGGGTTTTCACCTAGAATGTTTATCGAACTCAAAATATTTTCTACTATTTAGAAATCGAATGTTACCCCTCTAGTACTCGATAGTTGTAGCTGATTAACAATATCTGCAAACGATACCGTGCAGAATCATGAGGATAATTGTCAGCTGTGGTTGGAAGCATTCGTGTCGAAATAATACCAAGGAGTAAATCGCGTCGCTGATGATTGTTCCTTTATGCTGTCTAACGTTTTCGACGATGAATGAATTGTAGACGACTACTCCCTCAGGCTAACGGAAAGGAGCAAGTAGTAGAACCATTGATCTTATTGCGCCTGATTGTGTTGGTACTRCTACTACTGCTCTACTACTACTACTAGCAGCAAGAATCATTGAACACATATGATTTGGTATGTGACTTTTTGGAGCCACAGCATCCCCACATGACGCCAGACACCCCACACAATTTACCAGAATAATCATGCTAGTAGGAATTCTAGTAGTAGTAGTATTCAACATTTATTCAAAACTAGTAAAGGTTAGCTTCTTAATTCTTGTGCTATCATTCCATTCTTGTTGTTCAGACAAATCAAAACCACCATGTTGTTCCACCAGCACTGCTAGTATGCTGCTGGCACTTAGCATGTCACCACATCATATTCTTCTACTTGTAGTACTAGAAGTTGTGGCGATTCCCTAACCTTCTTTATAATGATCACAAAGACAAAGAAGTAGTCATGATTATTTTGAGATGGTCATTACTACTACTCACTGCTGCTGTTACTATCATGAAAAGGAGAAAGAATAAATTGGCAAGGGTAAACTAATACTGGCATATGCTTGTTTGTCATTCTTGCATTCCTGCTTCTTGCTGCTGCTTCTTGCTGCTGCTTCTTGTTGTCTCTTTATCCTGTTTTGGTGCTGTCTTCATTGATAATGGGAAATTTTTGCTGCAACAGCATGCTGAAACTTATACCAAATTTTCAGCTTTCCAGGACTCAATTCCTGCTGGCTTTCATCAATCATCAGCATAAGAATGATGTTTTGCTTGAACAGCAATTTATGTTTGTTGTCAATACTACTACTAATAAATGTACAATTGAATTGTCTTTTTTTGGAATGCCAACYTGATGCAATAAAAAGTGTTTAGAAACAGCAGTTTATCTACTAMAAGCCACAACTGCCACCACTTCCAGCACTGCTGACACCTAGTAGCCGGCCATTACCAACAACAAGTCCTTTATCCTCATGTTTGAACTCATCAACCAACAGATAGCATATGAGAAGATGCCACCATAGTCCTTGATGCATAATAGAGAAACCACAAGAAGTTGACCCAATGTCAAGCACCCTTAATATCTTCTACTGATCCTCCCTCTATGACACACCAGCAACTGACCTTGACACATTTTTTAAACCAATTCTAGTACACACCACCATGTCAGTATTACTAACCTGGTTGCAGCCCTCCCTTGTGGTTCCTGTATTGAATTCTTGTAAAAGAAGTACATTGGATGCCCCATAGGTATCTGGTGCTGCTGTGATTGTAGTAGTAGTAGTACTAGGTTCCATTTATTATGTATTCTGAGGTCATGCCAAAGTGTTTCACCATTAGTAGGGAACAAGTACTAAGGAATAGAAATGGGATGTCAATTGTAAYCTGAAGAGCACTAATACTAGTAGTGGAAGTAGTGGACATTCTACCATCATCATTGCATAGTACTGCAATAGGTACTACCTCTTTTGAATTCTTCATCTTACTACTGATATCACCAATCTGAGATACATCAAGCATCATTAGGATAGATACAATGACCTGTCATTCCCTGAGTCTTCCTTCTATTGTCCTTGTGACTTCATGAGGAGGAGGATTACTACTTTTAGATTGAGCTCAGTTCTACTAATGTCCAGTTCATCTCATGATTGTTGTCTTTTGGAGACAGCAGGTGTAACATGATGATAGGCACACTCTTCTTCTTGCATCGATAATCATAAATGCCTTCTGTACTTTATACACAAGTAGGTACAGCCTCTCAATGGCCTCAAAAGAAGACATACCATTGCATTTTGGCTTGAATTTTTTAATCATGCGCTTCATGCAACAAAGCATATGTACAAAAAACTTTAGCTGACCCCAACTGTCCAATATTGTGCAATATTAATCTCTTGAACTAGTAGTACTAGTAGAAGAGATGCTACTTTGAAAGCCAGAGTCAGAGGAGCTAGTGCTGGTAAGAGGAACAAAAATTTTCAAAATTAACCTCTCTACTGCTGAAGAAGAATGCCTAGAACAATATATGCTCTACAATCACCCCCCCCTTGAAACTGAACATCGGGGGCATGATTTTGTGGGTTAGTATTCTTCCAATGAAATAACCCACGTTTCTGAAATGTGGGTTATTTTTCACAAGAAAACATAACCCACAATCCAAAAATGTGGGTTCCTGGTGGGTGAAACCAGGAATAACCCATGAAATAATCCACAAATTAACCCACGAATAACCCATGAACCTGCTGGGCCTATTTTCAAAAATTAAAAACAGTGATTAACTAATGTTAATGACTAAAATACTTAACATCCTTAGTTCTCCATCAACCCAGATGACTGTAAATTTGTGGGTTATTTGTGGGTTCCTGGGTTCTTTTGTGGGTTATTTTTCAAATTAATGGGTAGTAGAACAAACATAAAAAATCCAGTATGGATTTTCTACGTAGACTGTAATACAAAATGAATGGCTGTTTTTAGGAATAAACTGTTTCTTCCAGAAAATGTGAAGTGCTAATAATGGTTGCTGTTTCTTTGAAACATCACAGTTTCTTCCACAAAATATATTTTATTCCACTGGATTATGACATTTCGACTTCCACTTGCAGCGAGCCGCAAGAGACCTAACTGTATTGTACTAAGTACGTAACTCTACTACGTATGGATACGACAACTACTTCGTACCGTAAGTATTTTCGACTTCCATGTTAGCGCACACAATCGCGCGATTTTACAATTGGAGTTGGATGTGTCATCATTTTAAGGTTCTTTTACCATACGAGTGCCACCTGTCTTTCTCACGATCTTCCGAAAGTGATGATGATCATCGCTCCTCGTTTCTGTTTTGTTCGATTGTACGTTCTGTACGTTCAGTAATACTAGTGAAACTCTTCACACAACCAGAAACGACGTAACGGTACCATACACACCCCTATCATTGCACAACAACTATTCGAAAGGAGCACGGCTTGTTTCAAATTCAAATTAAATCGAATCCACGATGATTTCTTTGAGAGTATTGGCATCTGTAGTGCTTTTAGCAACTAGCTCATCGGCTTTTCAATTGTCGAGAGCGAAGGGATCGGCATCGATGACGTTGGCTGCTGCACCATCACCCTTCATGATGCCAGACGAGCCCGAAAAGGAGCCCGCGAAGAAACCACCTCCGCCTCGTAGACAGCCTCCGTTGCCCACAGTTACCGGAGAGTCGGGTCAATTGGATGTCGTTTCCCGGCTCCTCAAAGACCGTATTTTGTTGTTGGGGACAGATGTGAACGATGAAATGGCCAATGTACTTGTCGCTCAGCTTCTATACCTGGCGAATGAAGATCCCGACAAGGATATTACGGTGTACATCAACTCGCCCGGAGGATCAGTCAGTGCAGGACTAGCCATTTATGATACCATGCAATTCATACCGTGCGATGTCCAAACTGTTTGCTTCGGCATGGCTGCCAGTATGGGAGCATTTCTACTTGGCGCTGGAACGAAAGGCAAGCGCAAGTCCTTGCCCAATGCCCGTATTATGATCCACCAACCTCTTGGAGGAGCACAGGGTCAGGCTGCAGATATCGAAATTCAGTAAGTTTATCCCCTCGATGCATTGGCTCGATTTATCGCATTTATTTTTGAATTGGAGTAGCGTCAGACGAAATTTCACAAAAACGTTCGCTTACCCATCAATACCCTATTTCCCCCGCCAAACATCAATTTTATCTGATACAGGGCCAAAGAAATTTTGTTCACCAAAGCTTCTCTCAACAAATTCATGGCCGACTATTGCGACCAACCCGTAGAAAAGATTGCCGAAGATACCGATCGCGATTTCTTCATGACCCCTTACGAGGCCTTGGACTATGGTTTGATCGACGAAGTTATCCAAACAAAAACTAGCCATATCCCTCTCCCTGCGATGCCTAGTCTAAGAAGCTAAGACTATAGATCTTGATTGTATCTTTATTATGATTTGCAAACTAGTTTAGGTCTAGGGAAATGGTTCAAGTTAGCTTCTCACTCTTTTTGAGTCTGTTACCTTTAATTGTGTCTTTCAACATGCTGCGTAAAAGTACTATGATGCTTCGAAAGAATTGAAAGAAGAAAAATAGTGTGATTTCTAAACGTATTATATGCATTTCATTTCTGATATTGGCTCAAGCCGAGGATTCAGTAACTGCCATTGGTCCAGCTGCTACGGACTCGGAAGTGATTTGGCCACTGTCCTGGTCAGTTTTTGAAGCTTGTAGAGATCTTCTCGCATTCCATGTTAGGAGTTTGTTCAGGGCAGATACATATGCACGAGCTGAAGAGGTCATAATGTCCGTGTCGGATCCCGATCCGGAGAATTTGCGGGCCTCCAAGTTCCCGGATTGCGAATGAATGGAAAGAGAATCATTGGGACCCCCTTCCTTGGGTGCAATGGTCACCCGCGTCACTGCCATTGCCTAAAATTAAAGATATTCAGGTCGATCAAGAAGCAAAATTGTAGAAGCGAAGTATTAGGGGGTTCAGTCACTGACACAAACACAAATATCACGCATATTTTAGTAATGATCCCCGAAAGGAACAAAACAAAGTAACTCACATCGATGCCTTCATTCACAGCCGACAGTGCGTAGGTTTCTAAGTCAACTGATACGCCCATGATTAAATCAATAGCCTTGTATACAGCATCAACAGGACCAGTTCCCGTGGTCGCAACGAATCGTTCTACCATGTCAGGGCCAATCATTTTTACCGTTGCTGTAGGGACGCCAGACATACCAGTCGTAACCTGAAGACCACTGACCTTCCATAACGAGTTAGGTGTATCGGATTGGTCCCATACGAGGGCTTCGAGTTCCTCATCCTCTAATCCACCCTTCTTTTTCTCTGCAACCTGCTTGAAACGATCGAATACAGAGTTAAGTTTGTCCATCTCCAAGTCATACCCCAATTCTTTCAAACGCGTTCCAACAGCGTTACGCCCAGAGTGCTTTCCGAGCACGATACCTGCTCCAGATTGAGCATCGCCACGCATCAGACCGATACTTTCGGGTGTCATAATTTCATAAGTGCTCTTATTCTTAATCATACCATCCTGGTGAATACCCGATTCGTGCTGGAAGGCATTAACACCAACAATAGCCTTATGTGGCTGGCAAATCATACCTGTGTACTCCGAAACCATCTTAGAAGTTGCTGTGATGTGGATCGGATTGATTGCGGTGTACAGTTTACCGGAACCCTGGCTTCCGTCGAAATGGGTTTCTCCCTTGAGAGCCAAAGACATGACGATTTCTTCGAGGGAAGCATTTCCTGCGCGCTCACCGATACCATTGATGGTGCATTCCAACTGTCGCGCTCCGTTCTTGGCACCAGCCAAGGAGTTGGCAGTAGCCAATCCAAGGTCGTTCTGACAATGCGTACTGAAAACAACCTTGTCGGCACCATCCACGTTCTTGCGGAGATTTGAGATGAGATCTCCAAACTCCCAAGGCATGTTCCAGCCAGTAGTGTCGGGGATGTTGAGGGTGGTAGCGCCTTCTTTGATGACCTCAGACAAAATTCTGTACAAGAATTCTGGATCAGAACGACCGGCATCTTCGGGAGAGAATTCAATGTCGTTGCACCCCAAGCTCTTTGCAAATTTGACTGCGTTTACCGCAATCTCGACAACTTCGTCGGGCGTTTTGTTGAGTTTGGTCTCCATGTGAATGGGGCTGGTAGCAATGAAGGTGTGGATTCGTGGCAACTTGGCTCCCTTGACTGCATCCCATGCTCGTTCGATATCCTTGGGAAAGGCTCGAGACAGACCGCAAACTACAGGGACGTACCCGTCTTCGAATACTTCGTTTCCAACGACATCGGCAATTTGTTTGACCGCAGCAAAATCGTCGGGCGAAGCTATCGGGAAACCGGCTTCGATGATGTCGACGCCAAGCTTGGCAAGGTTACGAGCAATTTCGAGCTTTTCCTGAGATGTGAGGGTGGCACCCGGACTTTGCTCTCCATCTCGAAGAGTGGTGTCAAAGATTCTCACATAATCTGGGTCCGGGATCTCCCCCGGGATGTACTTCGGTCGAGATCTGCGAACTTCTGCAACATCTTCTTTTGCTGAGTACAGGGACGAAGTTGTGGCTCTTGCGACGTCGGATCCCTTCACCAAGATGGACGCCGTTTCAGAGAAATTCTTATGGACCTGTCGCGAGATCGCAGGGGCGAAGGCTGTACTCGGCGCGGTGCCGCTGGCTGCGAGGAAGGCAACAAAAGCGCAGGATGTAGAAATCTTCATAGCTTATAGAGTAATTGATGGCTTTTGGGGTCGGTTTGGAGAGTTTGCGTCAGCGGGAGTTCGTGTTGAGCGCCCTTGTTGTATCTGGCTTTCTCGCTCACCCGTCTGATTTTGGATAATGATCCCGGTACTTGTGTTGTACAGTACGATAGTTTCTTTTGGTGTAGTTTTGATTGAAGTTTCTTCGTACCGTACGTACTGTTCCTTGTTACAGCGTTGAACCTTGCTAAAGTGAGTGTGTACGCTACATGTTTCAAATTCCTGCAATTCCGTCCTCTCGTTTTTCATTTTTTTGTGGTTGCTGATCGAGAACGTTGCGAAGAGCAGGTAGTATCATATGTCATGTATGTATGTATTACTAGTATCGGCAACAGATATTATTACATACTGTCTCGGTCTGTCTTCACTTCGGAGCTAAATCAATGATACCCTCACGGCCACACATAATGGCAAAAACTAGTCTACTTCCACCATTATTTTCTTCATCCCTGAATTCAKGTTCAACCATCGTCTCTTTCCACGTGAAGAAAAAGGGTTCGTTCGTGAACCAATTTTTATCCGCATTGGAATGAGAATAGTGCACTGCCAACGATAGTACGTACTGCAGCGTACCGGTACGTACTTGTAGATCACAGAACGTGTCCCCCCCACGTTTGCATGCAACGTAAACCTACTGTTTTTGTTCTCCTTTCCTTCGTTGTTTTTTTGCTAAACTTGAAAAATAAAAAATACAGACGGAGTTCAGGTCGTACCCGATTGCCACCACAAGAGAACTTGGCATAGCCCACTCACAACCATTACAATACGAGCAGTCGTGTTATTTGTGCTATCATCACTACGACGGCAACAAAGACATTGAATCGAGAGAACAGCGAAGGACCAGTGTCAAGACAAATTTAGCAAGTTGAGCAACAAAAACTTTATCACTATGCCCAACAACAAGAAAAATGGACAGGTGAAAATGTCGCTTGGGGATTTTATCGGGGGTGAACCAACGGGCATGGCCGCTCTCCCTACGAGACCTAAGGAACGGGGGTAAGTGGAGTTGTTCATACGACCTATTGTTTATCACTGCGCACTCAAAAATTATGCACACGTGTATAAGTAATGAGCTGAGTGCTTGCGGAAAATGGGTATTTTTTCGTTTCCGAAATCGAGACTGGTTTGCTCACTATGAATGAAATCCATTGCACCCGAACCGAATCCAATGAACAGACCCGACGACGACGGTTCCTTTAAGCGTCGGAGTGATTACGACAACAACCGCAGGGATCAAGAAATTTCTAGAAGCGACGGTGATGACAACTGGAGACGCGGAGGAGGCGGTGATAGTTTCCGAGGCGGTGGCGGAGGAGGCTTCGATGACAGACGCAGCGGCGGATACAACCGTGGAGGAGGTGGAGGATACGATCGTGGCGGCGGTAGAGGATACGACCGTGGTGGAGGTGGAGGATACGACCGTGGCGGAGGTGGAGGCTTCGATCGCTACGATAACAACCGCGGAGGTGGTTTCGATCGGGGCAGTGGTTACGATCGAGGCGGCGGCAGCGGTTTCGACAGATTCGACCGAAACGACCGAAGAGGTGGATACGACAACAACAACGACCGCAGTGGGTTTGATTCCTTCCGTAGAGGAGGGGCCGATCGTGGAGCGCCACCGGGTGATCGTCGTGGCTTCTCCTCCTCTCAAATCGGAGGTGTTGGTAGCGCCGGAATGAGACCTAGAATGCAACTCAAGAAGAGAACGGTTCCGCTACCGGAACCTCAGAAAGAAGAAGAGAAGAAGGAAGTTGCTCCCGTCGAAGACAAAACTGCGAAGGAGGAAGCGGTGGTGGAAGCCACGCAAGCGCCAGTAACAGAGTCAGCTTCTGAAAAGGACGAAACTCCCGTCGCGGATGTCGCTGCCCCCGAACCCGAAGAGGATGGTTGGGAAACAGTAGAAGGCGTAAAAAACAAATCTTCTAAAGACGCTTCAAAGGCAGAAAAAAAATCTAGCGAAGGAGGCAAAAAGAATAGCGAAGAAAACGCCGAAAAGAGAAAGAAAAAGCGAGAGCCAGAGGTTGTCAATTCGAGAGCGGCCATGTTGGAATCGGCTCCAACGATCAAACGAGACGTAAGCACAATCTCAAACATCACGATGGTTTATAACAGCGTCTATTCTTCTTTCTCACTGTTTTATTTTTCAAAATTCAAACTTATTAACAATCCATGGGTAGTCAAATGACGCGAACAACAACCGAAGGGACGGCGGCAGAAATCGCGGACCTCCTCCGGTCGTTAACAAACGATTTGAGCAACTCGCTGATGAAGAGCGAGGAAAACAACAGGAACGTGAAGCTCGACGTGGACCCCCACCGGTTGCAGACTCCCGTTTTGCGGCAGCCGCCGAAGCCGACGAGGACATGCGTCGCAGCAGAGACGAGTTTACCAGAAGTGAAGGTCCTCCAGCGGTCGTTAATTCCCGTTTTTCGGCAGCCGTTGAAGCCGACAAGGACTACAACAGCAACCGCAACGACGATTTTGACAATGGCGAACGTGGCCCACCCCAGGAAACAAACTCGCGTTTCGCCGCAGCTGCCGAAGCTGACAGAGACAGGAACTACAATCGCGAGAACAACTATGACCGCGCCGATCGTGGCCCACCACCCGTAGCAAATTCTCGATTTGCTGCGGCAGCCGAAGCCGATAGAGACAGGAACTACAATCGTGAGAACAACTACGACCGAATGGACGATCGTGATCGCGGCCCACCACCCGTTGCGAATTCACGATTTGCAGCTGCTGCGGAAGCCGACAGAGATTACAGCCGTGACCGTGGCGATTACGACGGAGGACGAGGAGATCGTGGACCTCCCCCCCAAGCCAGTTCTCGATTTGCTGATGCTATGGAAAACGATAGAGATAGATCGTACGATCGTCAAAACAATGGCAGAATGGACAGTCGTGATCGAGGTCCTCCACCGGTTGCCAACTCGCGATTTGCTGCCGCCGCCGAAGCCGATAGGGACTACAGCCGTGACCGTGATGATTACGATGGAGGACGAGGCAACAGATACCACGATGACCGACGTGGATTTGATGGTGGAAGAGGCGATAGATACGATGAGCAACCCAGATATCAGTCTCGTGTCCAGGAACCTCCGAAATCATCAGTTGCGGATCTTTTGAAGCCAAAGGCTCGTCCAATGGAAGAGAATATTTTGAAGGTACCGACCAAGGAGCAAGCCTCGAACTTCTTGGCTCCTCCATCGAAGGCACAATCCGAAAACGTGCTGAAACCACCTACCAAGGCTCCCGCCGCATCACCGAAAGCAGCCAAGAGCAAGGCACCCGTGGCCGCCCCCGCACCAGCTGTGGACCACACGGCTCTTCTTGCCGAGTTTGCGAGTGGAAAGAAACTGGGAGACGACTTGAAGGCCTGGATCGAAAGTCAGGCCGTTATTCCTAGCGTAGAGAAGTTGGTCTTCCATCTTTTGACAGAAACCCAGCCCCACAGCCCCGACGTTGAATGTGAGTGGGCGGCACCCGAAAAATACGGAGCGGCCCTCCTGTCCTTGGTCGAGGACGATCTCTTGAAACAAATGGGTGTTCTTTTTGCCGTTCAAAAGTATTGTGACAAGATCGGAATGCCTAAGCTCGATGACGAATACGTCGTGCAGTCCATGTTCAGATCAATGTACAAGTACGATCTGGCAGACGATGAAACATTTGCTATGTGGAAAGAAGACGAATCTCCCGAGAACGAAGCCGGCAAGCTCAAGGCCGTGATTCAAACAGTAGATTGGTTCAACTGGTTGGAAGAGGATGACGACGACGATGAGGAAGATTACGAGGACGAGGAGTAAAAGCGTGTGCATCGTAAGCACGAGATTGGTGTCCAACATAACGATTTGTGAAGTGCTGGATTCACATGCGTACTTCAGATCTTACTACAATGAATATTACTTAGCAGCTATGAGGTACCTTTGAATCGGAATGCCCCCGTACTGTATATAGTTGACTTTGCTGATTTCTTCGAAATCAATTGGTGATTCGTATTCCCCAGTGACCATCTAACTGTCATTGATAGAGGTTAGGGTAGATCAACTCTTATAAATATTTCCTACCTGCCGGCCTTTTGAAACGACGTTTAACTACGGGTGTCGCATGCCACTTCCAGTGTTAAGATACATCATTATGAAATGCTTCGTTTTAGCTTTTTTCGAATTGGACGGGCGCTGTTCTTGGTCCCGCTTGTATGTCTGCTCCACCCTCGGCTCCGGCAAAGCCCTTGGACGGTTGAAATTTCGACGTCGCCCCCTTCACGAGCTTGTCGTAAGACTCGTCGGCGTTGTGTTCCGTTTCTCCCCGAGTGGGCCGGTAGATGGACGCCGAGGTTACACCCTGGCGATCGAAGAGAGGTTTCGAGTATGTGTTGTATTCGTCTTCGGCTCCGAAACCAGAATCCATTCCCGCGGATTGATTGTACAACCTCGAATCGGCCTCTCCTGCTCCGCCTGATCCGGTGTGAACCCCTAGTGCAATCTTTTCTGAAACATCTCGTTCTTTTTCAAGCTTTCTTTTTTTCAGTTCCGCGTTGTTCTCTTGGCGAAGCTCGCGTTCTCGTTCCCGCCGTCTTTCTTTTCGGAGACGCTCTCGTTGTCGCGCGGCAACAACGTCGTCGTCCTCGTCCACCTTGTTCGATTTCTGATTGCTCTGGCGCTGGCTTCTGTCGTCGTCGGAATGCTCTTCGTCGGAAATTGAAGATTGTTGTGGCCGACGATCTCCGCCCGTTTCGTCGCTCACGGCTTCTTTCGCGCTGCTTGCCTCGCCCAAGGCCGCGCTTCGCTCCAGACGGGCCTGGTTGGCCAATCTCCGCAGCTCCTCCTCCCGTCGGTCCTTTTCTTGCATGGTTAGTTTCTTTTGGACCTGGGCTCGAAGCCGAACTTCTTGTCGCGCTTGGCGTTCCGCTACGTACAAACTTTCGCTGAGTGTGGCAAAGTTCGAATTTATGGTGTGCTCCCGCAGTCCTCGTCCATCGGCCGCCAATCGCTTGTCCAGCGGAATCGTGTAACCGCGCGTGTTTTTCCAATTACTGATGCAGGCGGGGATGTTCCATTGGTCGCGTTCCTCCTTGGTCAACCTTCGGGGCGGTGCATGAAGAACCGGGACGGGGTCTTCCGCTGGTCCCCGTGGCGCCTTCTTGTGCTGATGTTTTGGTGGCATCATCGGATCGACCTGGGCCGGAACCATCTGAATCACGCGTTGTGCGGCCGCGGGATTATAACCGGGGGCATCCGGTCGCGGCGTGTATTTGATGAACTGAGTATTCTTTTCAATGTCTTTCGATGTGTTTGCGTTGGCAATCGCTGATCCAGAAGGCTTATTTAGAGCGGTCTTATCAACCAGGAGTTTCTGCAAGGCCAATTGGGTGCGGTTTGCGGTTTCGGCTTCCTCTGCTGCGCTGGGAAGGGCAACGTCTTCCGGTTTCGCCTCCCCCCCGCGAAGATCCTCGTACCGGGAATACACGGTTTTGTCCGAGTTGGTTCCACCCTTGACGATCGCGTCGTACGAAATTTCCCCGTTCTTGTCAACCTCCACATTAACAATGGCGCGGGAAGTGCTGATACTGCCACCGGCCCCCGAAGAGGCCACCTGCCCCTTCTTTTTCTTGAGGTGGGGATTGCCCATGTGGCGGGGGTACTGTGCCACGTGAATCTCGGGAAAGGCTCCTCCGTCGTCAAAGTCCTTCAGGGAGCGTGGAACGAAGAGCTTCTTTTTCTTTCGTTCCGAGGGTGGCAGGCGGGAAAGGTCCGCCGCCGCCTTGCAGCGTTGGTGGTAGGTCGGAGCCTTGTTGTTGGCTGCGGAGTTGCTCTTGGGCTTTGCGGCGGGTCGTGCAAAGTCCTCTGTTCTTTCGTTGTCGTTGTCGGCGGAGCTGACGACCATTTCCGTGCTTTCAGCGACGTCGCTGGCTTTGGTGGAAGAGAGCGCAACACCCGTCGAATTTCGAGGCGGTGGGAGGGAGAGTGATGCCATATTGTTCAACTGTGTGTGTCTAATTTTCTTGGAAGAAGCTCGGTGACTCTTTCTGTCGATTTTCGATATACTACTTTTTTGTTTGTTGTGCTTCGGCTGCGATTCGGCAACACGACCGAGAAACTCTAAAGGTCTATGTGAGGAGGGAGCGATGGATTTTCTTTCAAAAAGAKGGAATAGAAGTTCGTTTGTCCCAAGGTTGTGTTCCTCTGGTGTGATGCAACTACAACAAGTACTCGTACCGAAAACTGAAACAAAACACAGATGTACCGTACGGTAGAGTGCTGCATTACCAGTACGAGTACTCGTACTTAACGTGCATTTTTCCTCTGCATGCAAGTACGAGTATCGTACGGTACTACTTGTAGCATACCGGTACGACAAGCCGCAAGGGAATGGTGTGGACAGAGAAAACGACTGCCAACGGGAAAAGGTTCGATATTTTTGGGTGGTTCGGGAATTTCTTGAATTTGCGCGTAACGTGCGTTCAACGAAATATGAAATATTGTTATTTTTTTGGTTCGCAGTTCGCAACATTCATAATTCAACAGTGAAGTCGACTTCAGAAGTCTAATGGAATAAACTTTGTACAAGACAATGTTTCGAGATGATTTAAAACGTCAACTATCCATAGATCAGTAATTCAAAAATGCTGTATATTATATATAGCCTTGTCTATTCATTCGTTTGACTTAATGACGACGTATATTATATATTATATAATGGYAAGAAGGTGACTTGAAGTCGGATTTTTCTCGGTTTCTTCTTGTTTGTACGGTGCCTTATACTTCTTGGATGTGCTCCTTTGGTATTTCCTTTTTTTGAAAAAAGCCATCCCACTGGGTCCTACATGTTTTCGATTTGCATGGCTGGTTGTTGCTAGGTCTACCAGAACGAGAGATTTCTTGGTTTAGCTCCTTGTCTGTAGAACAGCCCACTTTCTTTTTCTTTGTAGAAAATTTCTCCATTGTCATAGATGCGATCCCCGTATTTCTTGTCAACGTTGAAATTTATGTCATCCGGGAGCTCGTCTTCCGAATACGGGTCGTCGTAGTACGGATCGTATTCGAGACCGTACTCGAGTTCAAACTGATTTATTTCCTCGTCACTCATTTGATAGGTTCGATTGCTGCTATACTCGTCGTCATCGTCGTACTCCCTCTCCCTCACTTTCACGCGGCTGTATCCTCTTTCCTTTTCTTCTCTCATGGCCCTTTCTTGCTCTTCTTCCTGCCGGCGTGGTTTTCCATACGCACTCCATTCAAGAGAGGCTTCTTTCCTCCTCAGTTCGAGCTCGGTCAGAGTCGGATCCTCGCGCAGGCGTTTTTCGCGTGCCTCTTCTAAACGTTGCTCCCATGCCGACTCTTCCAGGCGAAAACGAGCAAACTTTTTGGACAGGTCCAGCAAGATTCCAAGCATTGGGAAATAGAAGAGAAAAAAGTGGTCCGGGACGTCTAGCAACACGCTTAAAGAAGTTGAGCTTGTGGTGACGGTAGGCATTACGCCGATGGGGTTGCGGTTGACATCCGTAACCCTTCGCCTCCTCGGAAGCGACGAAGAACTCGAGAGAGAATTCGTAGCGCAAGCCGATGATTTCGATGTCGGCGCAAACGCCGCAACGCGATCGGCGACGTCAGCGCAAACAATGACTCCCAGCAATAACAGCTTCATCGTTTCTGCAAGGCTGCGCATTGTATGAAATGAATGTGCGCGGTTATTTTTCTTGGAGGTCGTTGCGTTGTTGTTGAATACTTTAATTATCGGCACAACAAAGAGGGTTCTTCTTCAACATTTTGATCCGACATCGGATGTGGGTGCCATCATCGTCTGCCTCGCAGAAAGAATCCGGTTGAGATGTCAAAATCATGATGGTTTTTAATGGATTCGAGTTTATTGATTGACCACGTTGATGCCCGTCTGTTATCGTCCGAATTACACGTGTAAGTCTAGTCAAAAAAGAAAAAAGGTTTTAAATTACTACTACTAAATTTAAAAGTACCATACGTACAGTACCGTACGGTAACATACCAAATCGTACCTGTACATCGTATGATAACAAGGGAATACCTCGTTAGTCTGAAGTCTACCCTAATGGTACGAATTTCATGTAGTACGAGCTGACAAATGGGGGAACATGATCACTCCGGCTGAACCTTTATCCATAGCTTTAACCTCCATCCGCCCATAATTTCCTCATAATTTGAGCTTTGTTGATCCTCGAGATGCAGACAGAGTAAGTTCAAGTACTTTGTGCTACATACTAGATTTAAAAGCCCAAATTTCTATTGAAGATTCGAATGCCAAGATTTTTCTATTCGTCCAAGTATCGTACCGGTAGGGAAAAAGCTATTTCAACACCGAGTTCTGTTTTTGGTGTTTCATGCATCGGATGATCAATGTTTGGCTTTTTTCGCCTTTGCAGCACCGAAGAAACTGCCGATGGATTTCATGCCTTTCGTGCTCACTTTGGCCAATCGCTTGTTCCCCACGGTTCGAGCTGCTTTCCTGTCCTTTTGAGCTGCCGCGGCCTTTTTGGAGGAAGTTGCATTCAGATCGTCCTCGGTGAGCACTGCCGGAGCAATTGGGTTCCTATCATTGGATATGGTCTGAGGATTCGATTTCGCTTTTGCGTTATCGGCTATTTGTTCCATTGTATATCCCATGTGTTGGACAAATGCTTTCGACCAAGCTTCGTTAAGRTAGTTACAAATTATTTGCAAACTTTCTATCTTCAGAGCCTTTGTATCCAGTTTAATCTCAACCTTCCTATTCGCTCCCTTCGTCGCAGGAGGAGTTACAACTCCAACGGGATTTCCGAAATTAAAATTTGAACTGACAGATCCCCCCATCGAGTCACCGTTCTCGGCCCCCGCTGCAGAGTACTTTAATTCATTGGTCTTTCGCCTCTGCTCGTTCTGAGTTATTAACGATTCCAATACCCGAACCTGCTTCTTCTTCAGCCAGTTCAGGGACTTTTCCATACTAAACTTAAAGTAGAGCTCTTCGTTGTCAAAAGTCGAACAAATATGGCTCAGTTGCTTTTCCGTTATAAATTTAGTCACCTCTAGCGGTAATTTGCTTTGTTCCAAAAATTGATTGTAAGGTTGCCAAGATGCCTTTTTAGTTTTTGGCTTCTTTATGTCAGTTTCAGCGGCTCCTGTTGACTCGTACTGTTCGATTGTTTGTGTTGCCAAATACAAGAAAAGGGGATCTATTCGATTGATCATATACAAATCACCATCTTTGACGACGTGCCGACCCACCATGAAGCTCGAGAAATCTGCAGGAATATTCTGGATTTCAGCAATGTAGCTCCCATCGGCAGTGGTTGTTGGAGATATTACAACATAATCACGACAGTCACCCGAACCTGGGTCCTTCGTGTAGATAAGCTTCCCGACCATTCGACCAACGGGCAGACGTTCCTGCTGCAATGCCACTATCCACTTTTTGTTCTTGCTGTGAGCCTCTGTCATTTTGAGTAATCTGATGTTTTAGCGACAGTCAATGGAAACTAGTAAAATTGCGAGTCCCCGGAATGCGTAGATGTATTCTTATGCAACCACACTTCGATTGCTGAGAAAATTATCAACAGTCAACACATTCTGATGATACCATGCCGTATGAAGACGAGAACCGATCGGTACCGGCCGGTACCGGTATTTCCTCGACAACTTCTTTTCATGTTTTTTGTACCAATGCTATTTTCATAGCGCGCCAAAATCTGATTGCGAATCATTTTTTTCAGTCGAATGAATCTCGTTTTCGATCCAACGTTCCTAAATTCAGTAAGTTCCCGTAAAGTACTCGTACTCGTAATGTAATAAGTACGGTACTGTACTACTGTACTATGTACCTCTTCGTAGTACCGTAGACAAGTAGGTTGCTCACTGAGATCTATCATGGCACGCACAGATMCGACAGGACTGGAAGGACGCTAAGACGGTGACTGAGTTTGCTTCGTCATCCGTCATCGGCAGACGAAATACCAAGCTATTTTTACACAGAATTTCCGAACCTTTCAAGGATCGAAAGCATTCTAATCTCGTACCGTATGCGATCAACCATAGACATCAAAATTATACAKAAGTACAGTAGATCAGAGAAGCCACTGAGAAAGTCGGAACCAGAAAGATGACGAAATTTCAGAGACGAGGCCTTGGTTTCCTCTTGTTCCAGGTTGCCCTGCTGGTTCTGCAACCGAACCTGACTCTGTCGTTTCGAACGTCGGGGCCCATTAGCACCCGTCATTCTTTGCACTCGGCATCACCGTTGACATCAGCATCTAGGGCCAATTTCGTGCTACCAACCGAAAAGCCGGTGGATGGAAGGCGCAACACTGACTCTCGGTTGAGCATGGATATTGTAGGCGTGTCGCCCGAACCAATCCATACCGCATTTTCCTTCGCAACATTTGGGCCTCAACCGTTTTGGCTCCTCATGATCTTGCTTCCAAACAATCAGTTGACAAAAAAGATTATGGGAAGGTTAGGTAAGAGAACGTTCACTTTGGAAACCCTCAGAGCTGCTGTTTCCTTTACATTTTCGGCCTTCCGTGCGTGGAATTGATTTTCTAATTAGGGCCAACCGGTCAATTCGATTCATTGGTTTCCAAATTTCTTCTCTTCTTTCGTCATAATTGCAGACCTTGTCATTTTCTTTTGCTTGGTTCACTTTTTTATTGTATCAGCCTCGATCGTCCAACCTGGTGCGACGGCGCCTCTTTTGGAGTTCAATGACGTCTTTGACCCCGCGAAGGATTCGCAAGCTGCTTTTATGAACATGGTCACCAACTATCCGAATTTTGTTGCAGAAGAATGGCCCCATGTCTTAACGTGGGATTTGTTTGTGGGGCGATACATCTGGTTGGATGGATTGAAGCGCGGTGAGTGGCTTTCCAGGGTTTCCGTCGTCTTTGGACGAATGCGATGAATCAATGGATCTCTTCCATTCATTGTTCTTTTTCAATTCGAAGTCATTTTCTGGCATGSTGGACATTTCAGATTCCTAACCCACCTCTCTGTTCTCTTTCCCACCCAAACAGGTATCTTCACATCACACTCGGTCTTGTTTGCGAACTTGATTGGACCTCCTGGTCTTTTGTTGCACTGGGTGACTTGTCTTGTGACAGGGAAAGGATTTGGCGATYTGAACGAAGCACTCGAGGAGGAATAAATTTTAAAGGACAATTTCAAACTGAAGCTCGATATAATAAGCGATCAATTTGTAATTCTCAAGAAAGCCTGCTATCATCAGTAGATAATAAACAGGTTTGAAGGATGAGATTTAAGCAACAATCCAGTGCAACGCTCAGGTTCTCATGAATAATCCATGCGCAAAATAGTTCAAGACAAAGGTAGGTAACGTTTGATGATACATTCATTGAACTATTACTATGCTGTCACCAAATACCACATGTAGAACCAATAGTATTCATCAAGAAACTGAAATTTTATTGCATCTCAATGGGCATTTAGAGGCACCAAAGTAGCAAAATGAGCCACACCAAAAAGAACAGTACCACATAATAGCAGAGTGTGACCAGGTCAATACTACAGAGTACTGRTCACTTCMTCTGTCTCAGAATGAAGGTCTGTGATGACTGCTGATAACACTGAATGCCAAGGATGCTGATGCATACAGAGGATGTATGGGTGGGGTGTACAAAGAAATAATAATACTAAAAGTAGTAGCTGAAGTCTTTTTATCAATTCCATTCTTTTCATACTATGGTATTTCCACCATGAGGTGCTGGTAGGGCAGCAGTATTGTATTTTTTCATATTTTATCATTGCTCTTGCTGTAATGCACTGTGCAGTATCCTGGTGTTTAATGACATCCCAAGAAGTGCAGATGGCAGTGTCCCTATCATTACTAGTACTACTATTTGTAGTATTGTTATCATAAAAACACTGACACAAGAAAAACACTGCAATGTTAAATAATTTATTCCTAGCTAATATCTACTAGTACATWAAAAAACTATTTGGTCACAAGACTCCTGGTAGGAATGAAATTCAGCATGTGCCCAGCTGTAAACTCCTGCAGTACAAACAGTACAAGTAATTTTTTAGTCAAAGTAGTCATTGCTCACAAAATAAGGGCCCAAAATGTATGACTGTATTGTAGTAGATTCAAATGTCAGCTCTACTAGTATACTAGGATAGGTGATGACTGGAAATGCCCGCCCCTGCTGAAGGGAATGATGATACTATCAGCATATTTGTTGTGTTGAAGTCTTTCAAAGGAGAAGCCCAGGAGAAACTACTACTACTACTAGTACTCCTCCTTCTTCTACTAGTAGTACTAGTACCAGTACTTGTTGATGGAGAGGCAGGAACAACAAGCAAGGAACAAGAAGCAACAGCAACAAGAAGAAGAAGGAGTAGTACTATCACTATCACTATCACTACTAGTACTAGTACTAGTACTACTACTACTACTACTACTACTAGTAGTACTAGTACTAGTAGTAGTAATAGTACTACTATGCTGTGTCAGTGCAAGTTTGTTGTCTGGAGCATTGAAAAAATCGAAAGAGACTTATCCAATGTAAAGCAAATATTGATAGTTGAGGGGAGGTGGCTGAAAATCTCTTGAAAGACTTCAACATCCATTGGAAAGATGAAGAATATGTAACATCATGGTGATTATCGTATCAAAGAACAGAATTAGGCCTTAACAAGTGAAATTCAGGAACCAATAGTCACCAATCATCCTTAAAAAGGATCCATCATACGGTGTCTAGTTTTCAATTTTCGAGCGATCAAAAACAGAATACAGTATCGTCAATCAGAATCTCTGGCAATCACGCATGTCTCGAAAACAACTGATCATACACACCAACGGAACCTTACATTGCAACGAAATCCTTTTGACTCTGAAATACAACCAARTTGACGTGAAGAGAATTCTTTCCAAAATATATTGACGATGCCAGCAAAAGCTTTGGGGAAATCGAAACCCGAGACAGTCTTCTCAGGTTTCAAGGGTGTCACCAAAGAATCAACCAACAAGCTATTTTCTCCTGTTTATCCACCTCGAACTAAAAGTAAGTTTCAGTTGGGCAGAGTCAGAGCAAGTCCATATGGTTCTTGCCTTGACTCGATTAAAGGTGGAGAAGGCACTGTTGCTTGGGAGGAATGGCGTGAAGAAAACCTTCCGCCTCTGACAGTCCCACGCGAGGGTTACGGACACATCTACGGCCAGGAAACTATCGACGAAGTAGACGGAACCGATCTAGGGGATGCCAATCCAGAAATATCTGCTACGGGAGATGCATCATTGAAAAATCCTCACGACTTCGGGTCGACCAAAACTCCCGATGACGCTCCGGTCGGTTCTCTCAAAGACAAGTGGAGATTGCTCCCACACTTTTTGAAGATGCGGTCTTTGATGCGACAACATATTGATTCATTTGATCACTTTGTCAACGTCGAAATGAAGCAGATTGTCCAGTCGCCAAGTGCTCGAGAGATTCGATCAGAACATGATCCAAATTTCTATCTACGATATACTGACTGTTGGTTGGGGGAACCAAGCGTTGAGGAAGACTCTTACGCTACTTCGACCGCGACACCCTTCCAATGCCGACTGCGGGATTGTACATATTCCGCACCTATATACGTCAACGTTCGATATACACGTGGACGACAGATCGTTGTTAAGAGGAAAGTTAAAATAGGGCAAATGCCGATCATGTTGCGGTCGCAAAAATGCATTTTGTACGAAAAATCAGAACACGAGCTAGCAAAATTGAAAGAATGCCCTTACGATCCTGGTGGGTATTTTGTTGTCAAGGGTGTTGAAAAAGCTATTCTAATCCAAGAGCAACTTTCCAAGAATCGTGTCATTCTAGAAAAGGATGCTAAGGGAGAAATCTGCGCAAGTATCACGTCGTCAACACACGAGCGCAAATCCAAGGCATATATTTCGATGAAACACGGGAGGGTTTATTTGAAAAATAACACGTTGGGAGAAGATATTCCAATCGCTACTGTATTAAAGGCAATGGGTGTTGAGAGTGATGTTGAGGCAGTGCAACTTGTTGGGAGCGAACCATATATCGTCAATGCTTTGGCTCTATCTTTGGAAGAGTCGAGCAAAATGGGCATCCACACCCGACTTCAGGCGCTCAAGTTTATTGGCTCAAAGATTAGACGCAATGCAAATTCTTATCGCAGACCAATGCCTCCCGAGGACGAAGCGAGAGAAATTCTTGACCGTGTTGTTCTGAGTCATGTGCCAGTGCACCATTTTGATTTCCGAGCCAAGGCTATTTACGTCGGGCATATCACCCGCCGAGTTCTGCTCGTCCATCTTGGAAAGATGTCGTTGGATGATAAAGATTATTATGGAAACAAGAGATTAGAATTGGCGGGCAATCTATTATCGCTTCTTTTTGAGGATTTATTCAAAATTTTTAGCAAGGACTTGAAGCGACAAGCCGACATGGTCCTTTCCAAACCGAATCGAGCACAGGCGTACGATGTTGTGAAATCCATTCGGCCGGACACTATTACGAATGGTATGATCCAGGCAATTGCCACAGGAAATTGGGTTTTGAAACGATTCAGAATGGATCGAGCTGGAGGTAAGTCCATCTGTTTGTTAAAAAATTCTCCGAGGCCGTGTTCGTGTCTCACAAATACTGTTTCGATACCAATAATTACGAATCCGTAGTTACTCAGGTTCTGTCGAGATTATCTTACATGTCTGCGATGGGGATGATGACCAAAATCCAGAGTCAATTTGAAAAAACAAGAAAGGTCAGCGGACCTCGTTCGTTACAAGCTAGTCAGTGGGGTATGCTATGTCCTGCAGATACTCCAGAAGGAGAGGCGTGTGGTCTTGTAAAGAACCTCGCATTATTAGCACATATTACAACTGATGAGGATACGCAGCCAATAGAACGTCTTTGCCGTGACTTAGGCGTTGAAGATGTTCTTCGTTTATCTGGTCATGAGATAAACTCCCAACAGGCTTATTTAGTTCTTTTGAATGGTTTGATTCTAGGCGTTCATACCCGACCAATATCGTTGGTGAAAAATCTACGAAGGCTAAGACGAAGAGGACTAGCAGGAGAATTTGTATCATTTTATTTGAACAAGGAACAGCGAGCTGTGCACATTGCAACAGATGGAGGCCGCGTTTGCCGTCCTCTCATTATTGTTGATGAAAAAAATGGGCTACCTCGACTCAAGCAAGAACACATTGAGGGTTTAGCTCTTGGTACCCTAAATGTCAGAGATTTACTTGAACGAGGAATTGTAGAGTATGTTGATTGCAATGAAGAAAACAACACACTCATCGCAGTGACGGAAAGAGACTTAGAGATTGCTCGCAAGCAAGGGCTAGAAACTCGCAAAATGCGGTACACACATTTAGAGGTGGATCCATTTACTATTCTTGGTGTCGTTGGTGGAATCATCCCAGTAAGTTATATTTTGATTTACTTCAAAATACATATTTGGTCATGTATGATGAGAGTCACTGCCACTAACAGAAACTTTGTACTTCTCGCAGTATCCGCACCACAACCAAGCCCCACGAAATACATACACTGTCGCGATGAGTAAACAGGCAATGGGAACTATTGGAGTTAACGAATACGAGAGAATGGATGGGTTGATCTACACTCTCGTCTACCCTCAGAAACCACTTGTGAAGTCTCGAACGCTTGACTTAGTTGGCTTTGATAAGATCCCAGGTGGACATAACACCTGCATCGCAGTTATGAGTTTCAGCGGGTACGATATTGAGGATGCAGTTATCCTTAGCAAAGCAAGTATTGACCGCGGCTTTGGAAGGTGTATAATCCTCAAAAAGCACCAAACTAGTGTCCGAAGATATGCCAATGGGTCGATCGATAGAACGTGTGGACCACCCGATGTTAGCAATTTTGCGGACGGGGAAGATGATAAACGGTATACAAAGTATAAGGCAATAGACGATGACGGAATWTGTATGGTGGGAGAAAAAATGGAGGGTGGGTCCATCATGGTCAATAAGGAATCACCGGCAAACACCACTGGTGACATCGGTGGAGCAGACCTTGGCATGAACATGGGCATGTCGTCTGCRGTTATGCAATACAAACCATCAGCGTTGTCTTATCGAGGTCAGGTCCCATCTCATGTTGATAAGGTCCTCATCACCTCAAATGAACATGAGCAATTCTTGATCAAAGTGATGCTTCGGCAAATCAGAAGACCCGAAGTTGGAGACAAGTTTGCATCTAGGCACGGTCAAAAAGGCGTTTGTGGTCTCATTGTTCCACAAGAAGATTTACCTTTCAATGATTTTGGTCACTCACCTGATTTAATCATGAACCCGCATGGTTTTCCATCTCGGATGACAGTTGGCAAGCTTTTAGAGCTCCTTGTTGGGAAAGCTGGATTGTACGAAGGTCGTCAAGGCTACTCCTCTGCATTCGGAGAAGAACATGGCTCTGCGGACACTGCTGAAGCGACAGCGGAGGCTCTTCTTCGAAATGGGCTGAACTACACAGGTAAAGACACTTTTTATAGTGGTGCAAGTGGCGAGCCTCTGGACGCTTACGTCTTCTCGGGACCTGTGTTTTATCAAAAGCTTAAGCACATGGTTCTCGACAAAGCCCACGCTCGTGCGCGAGGGCCTCGTGCTGTATTGACTAGACAGCCTACGGAAGGGCGAGCGCGCGATGGAGGGCTACGATTGGGAGAAATGGAACGTGATTGCCTCATTGCATACGGAGCTTCTAATCTCATAATGGAGCGACTAATGCACTCTTCTGATGCATTTTCGGCTAATGTTTGTCTCAAGTGTGGTCTTCTTCAGTACGACGTAAGTTTACCGTTGTCTTCAAGTTGTTYGTCATTATGAAAAATTGCGAAGCTAACGTATTATTTTTTGATATTCTTTAATTCAGAATTGGTGCCAGTACTGTAGAACTGGCGAAAAGGTCACTGATATTCGTCTGCCTTATGCCTGTAAATTACTCTTTCAGGAACTCCAGTCTATGAATGTACTTCCTCGTTTACGTCTCGAAGATGTATAGCACCACTAAACAAAAGCTAAGCGATGCAATCGTTTGTCTTAGTCTGGTAGGTGCGCACCTGAGCTCTTCATGTTCAGCTACTTTCGCCACCACTCTAAATTCTCTTTAAGATCACTATCTTCGTCTTCTACATCCAATATTAGATTTGAGAGTAGTTCGCCGTAGATTCCATGATATAGCATTCCCCTTCCGCTCAATCCTGTGAAGACCCAAGAGTTGTGATGGTAATTGGTTTCAAATCTTCCAACGATAGGGAGCCTGCCACGCGGTCCTCTGTTACTCTGCACGCGAAAACCACATGTGACTTTGTCAATCGTTCCATTATTCCATACTTCTGATGCAAAACCATATGACCTTTGTTTAAGCTCAACCTCAACTTCATCTGGAGTTAGTGCTAATTCCTTGAACTCGTGGGTTGCACCTGCGAAAATTTATAACATTGTGAGGKTTTTCTTGCAACAAGATGTAGAAGGATTCATATTCTATGCTTACCGATTAGGATGCGGTCTCTCTCCAATAATGGAGACACGTATTYACCGCACAAAATTGCGTTCCACGGTATCTGATTGTTAATTGTCATCTCTATAGATTGACCACGCACTAAATTAATAGGGAAATCATCCTGGTGCAAAAGGGCCGATTCGAATAGCCCTGACCCAGCTGAGAAGACAACTAGGTCAAAGTCTTTCAGGAGCTCTTTCCATTCGTTATTGTCGATCTCATAGACGTCTTCACGCACAACCCACTCTGTCTTACCCCTACCAATGGATTTGCAAGCTGACCAAAGGCCATTTAGATAGCTTCGCATGTGCACAACCTTGCTACCACCGGATAGTCGAAGAATGCCAAGCACATTGTTTTCACWACTCAAATATTCTTTTTCCCAATTTTCGTTACCACCGCCATGATCAATCGTAGAATCAGGTGTAATCCATTTGGCCAAGTCGGGCAGTTCCGAGGCTGTCTTTTGAAACTGAGCAACCTGAGCTTCGGTCGTTGCGGCACGATAGATATTATTTCTCAATACGACATTATCTTCGAATTGAGATGCCGCTTGGACTAACTGGTTGGATGATGCCAAGCCTTCGAATCCTTTATACGCCAATTTGCCCTTTGGGCTCAAGGGATGCAGCAATCTATGGTAGAAGAGACGGGGTGACTTCATCGTTAGCGTTGTATCTTTATATATGAACATTTAATCTTTCCAAAGATTCATGTCTACGAAACCTTACCCTCCGGCAACGGCAGAAGCCCCACCTGTCCCAGGAACACTTCGATCGATGATAGTAACATCACTAGAGGGCGACTTTTTTAAAAGATGATAAGCAGTAGATAGCCCCGCCAACCCCCCCCCAATAATACATATCCGATGAGCCATTAGGGGATGAAATGTTTGTATACTCATGTTGCTTTTCCTGTTGAAAGCATTCATGTGTCTAAACGGAAAAGTATTAGGAACTTCACGAGCTCGACTACAATATGACTTTCTTAATAATTTTCCATCTGCCATCAACGCCGTTACCGCAAGATGATCAGGTCGCTTGAGTAAATTAAGGAATATCAACATTGAAAGAGCAGTAAAAAGGAACAAGGATAGCCAACTGTAGATTCCAAACACGAATATCCTTTTTTTCCTTTCCATCGTTCCTTTCTTGTGAGTTGAACAAAGAAGGAAAATGCAGATTTTATGCTCTTAGACATTCAAAAAAGTTTTTCTATCAGCTCTACCGTAACGTATCATCAATGGGATTGATTAATATTTTACAATCGATACTGTGSATTGGGTAGCAATGGCTTGCCCGAAAGGATACAGGATTCGATAGTATTCAAATCATTATTTTCGATTTGATGCGCTGTTCCAAGCCGCCCGGAAAATACATTACATAGCGTACGATACTGTACCGTAATTGTTAAAAGTGGGGGCGTCAGGTTTTGTTTTGAGATTGAGATTTGACGATTGAGTTTTTCGTTTTTCATTAGAAGTACCGGTACGTACGGGTACGTACCTTGTACTAAAAGTACGGCATTTTCAGACTGTGAGAGTACGAGTACGGCGTACTGTAGGTACGTACTCGTAGATCACAAGAACGTAGTCACGTACGTACGGTACAGTACTGAATACCGTACTCTATGTGCAAAYACCAACTACCAACGTTACTCTTTACCGTAGTATCTACCTTACGTCACGGGTACGTACCTTATGGTACTACAGTATGGTAGTGAAGAATACGATTGCTTCATACGGTACCATAGGCTATGAGCCCAGTATTTCTTGAATGGATGTAACGGTACTCGTACCGGTACGTCAGAAGGGATAGTGGTACGTACTCGTGCCCGACAAACCTTCCTGTACCGGTACGTTCGTTCCGGATTATGTTCGCCAAAGCATGCATCATCTATTCATTTCCTATGGTCCTGCTAGCTGTACAATGCAAAGTGGACATAAAGAAACACTGTAATTATGACCCCAAGCTGTTGATACGCTGGCTTCCCGTCCCGGAGCATTTTCGWTGTCTCTTTAATAAAGCCCTTCTCAAGCTAATGACTTTGTGCTTCCCAAATTAGGCGAGGCATGCTAGACTTCTTCATTCCTACGTCACCAATACTACCGTAGCATATCAACAATTGTTAATGATATGACTAGCTCGGGAGAGTGCAGAATACTGGTTATGCTKAAGCACAGTACGTATGCTGTTTGTAATGTACTACAAGTACTTCGAACTTCTGTGACAGAAATCCCCGGTATGAGAATCATTCTTTTTTCGAAAAAACAAAAAACAAGGCCTTCTGACGCGAAATCAAAGGACATCTTGATGATTGAACTGAATCTAATTTCTGTCTTACGTAGAAATTACGGTGTCAAAAATTATCGAACTTCTATTTCAAAACCTAAACAACAATCGCGTTCTGTTACCCACTAAATTACATCTTCTCTTTGGTCACTATGCACTCGTATGCCAGAATTGTTTCTGCCACAACGAATCGTGGATATCTCGTCCGTAGAACAATAGCGGCTGGAGGATTGCTCTCAGCTTTATTAATAACTAAAGACGAAGAAAATAAAAATGAGAAGAAAATTAATTCTTTGTTCTCAGCGTTGACGACTTCCTTGCCCCTTTATGATGAATTAAGAGGCGCAACATCGTGCGACTTCAAAGCACCGAATGAGATCCGCGTACCAAGAACGCTCAGTCAAATTGAATTGGAAAGAACCCAGAAAAGCCTCCAAAAGTCATACGATGTGAAATGGGAAAGGCCTCTTGGGGAGGGAGGGTTCGGAGCGGTGTATCTGGGCCGTGAAAAGAAGTCTGGTGATTTAGGTAAGAACTCTAGCTCTGTTTGGAAACGGTTCTGACGAAGATACACGGAATTTATATGATGTTGATGTTGGCGTCGATAACTCAAATATATTCTGCATTTAGCTGCTGTGAAAGAAATTTCAAAAGAGTATACCAATGATTCTACTTTTCAACGGGAAATGGACGCATTTTTGCACATTAAAAAGGCCGGTGGGCACCCAAATATCTGCGGGATGAAAGAGCATTTTGACGAAGGACCTTTTTTCTATCTGGTCCTAGACTTGGTACAAGGTGGAGAAATGTTTGACCATCTGATAAAGGACGGCGCATACAGTGAGGCAGATGCGGCAAGATTGGTTCGAGAAGTTGGTTCGGCACTCTCTTTTTTGCACGGGATCGGACTAGTGCATTCTGATTTGAAACCAGAAAATCTGTACGTAAATAGCTCTGAGATGGGTAGCACCCATATGACTTTTTGGTCTCTTCTCACACTTTCTATTTTCTGATTGGTAAACATCAAATTTTAAGTATGCTGAGTTCGGAGAATGCTAGCGATGCTGTGATGAAAGTCGTAGATTTTGGTTGTGCCGAAATCATTGACAAAAATAGTCCTTATTACAGCCCAGATGGAAAAGATTGTTTTGGGAACACTCCAGGCTATTCTCCACCTGAAATGATAGACGGCGCTAGAGCATCGACACATTTGGAGCCTTCGGTTGATATGTTTTCTATGGGCGTTATCATCTACATTATGCTCACAGGAATACATCCTTTCGATATCACAGGCCGATCCACAGACCAACAAATGAATAGAAGAGTTCTTCGTAACATGATGCCGCCTTTACGAAATTCTCCTCTCACTGCGCATTTATCATCATCTGCGATCGATTTAATTGAAAAACTTATTGATTGGGATCCGAAGACAAGGATGACTGCATTAGAAATGCTTAATCATCCATGGGTCAAAGGAGAAACAGCATCAAAAGGAAAGATTGAAAATTCTGACAAGAGGTTGAAGGGATTTCGCAAGTACAAATCTGGGATCGCAGCCCAGGTCTTCCAGAACATGGTTCTTGGTTCTGATAACTCGGAAGCCGACGATGCAACAAGAAAAATGTCGCTGATCCAACAATCATTTCAAAAAATTGATTCCGAAAACAGAGGTTACATCACGACGAAAGATTTGAAAAACCTTGCATCAAACAAGTCSAACGAWGATTCGAWKGATCACGAAGACGAAGAGAACTCACAGCTATCACTCTCTGGATTCTCTGAGTTGTTATCTGAACATATGAAAAACGTTTACTTGCCTGCCGGCCATGAAATTTTTAGTGAAGGAGACGAAGGTGACACGATGTACTTTATCAACTCAGGGCGAGTCGAGATCACAACAAAAGACGGTTACAGGACAACTACAGGACAAGGTGATTTCTTTGGTGAAGGGGTGCTCTTGCATGAAGACAACAAACGCAGTGCAACAATCAGATGCATTACTCCATTACATGCAATTGAAATAGGGAGGGATTATTTTGAAAAATATCTGTCGAATGGATTTGAAACAGAGATAGCTCTTTTGGAGAGAGACCGATTGAGAAGACAAAATAGAGCGAAGGCGATCCTTAGTCTTCAGGAGAATCTAATTGAGGATATAATCGAGGAAGGAGATTATGTGTACGAGCAATGGGAAGAAGGAGACGACATTTTTCTTTTAGAAGATGGAGCTGTTGATATAAATGTGAACGGTCATTCTGTGTACACGGTACGAGAGGGCGAGTTGCTGGGAGAATATGCTACAATATTTGGTCGTCCACGAAACACTTCTGCGCGATGCGCGAGTGACAAATGCAAATTGCAAGTAATGCATCCAAAAGACTTCGCCAATATGATGAGGTCTAACCCGAATGTTCGAGACGGACTTCGTGATGTCGTCTATCGACGGGAATTGAAGAAGGCAATTGTCTTCGAAACACATAAGTCCTTCCCTGCAACAGAAGAAGAATTGAAAGAAGTGTTCGAAGCAGTTGATAAAGATGGATCCGGAGAGATAGACTTAGCGGAGATTGATGATCTGCTGAGAAAAATGGATAAAACTTTCACTGATGAGGATATTTCAAATATATTGAGCTCTGTGGATCTTGAGGGGGATGGGACAATCGAATGGACAGAGTTTAAACGGGTCTTCAAGATACCAAATGCGAAAGCATAGTTTCTCTGCGTTACAGACTACTAATTGCCTTCTTGTTCTGAATTCATTGTACGAAAGTTCAACATTTGAAAACTACATCTGCTGATAGTAAAAGTCCTGTTTTCACAAATTCAATTTTAACATCAAAATTTTCAATCTCCTGTAATATCTTGTGATAATAATACTACACGTAATTTATTTGAAGTACAGTAACACCCAAAAACTTGTAATACTTCTGAATTACAGTATTTTCGTAATTTCTGCTTGTCGAAAACTTTCACGGTTTCAATGTTTTCGGATAGGTGGGATGGTTCTGTACCGGGTACGGTACGTATGGGTTGGTGGTCGTGACATGCGATGCGATGCGGGCAGTGAAAATAGCGCGGAAAATTCCGTTTCGGTCTAAAAATTTATCAAATTAAAAATCTCTCTAGTTTTTCAC